CTACCCATCACAGTTTCTGTGTAAGCTGAGATACAGACCAGGTTCTACCCATCACAGTTTCTCTGGAAGATGAGATATGGACCAGGTTCTACCCATCACAGTTTCTCTGTAAGCTGAGATATGGACCAGGTTCTACCCATCACAGTTTCCCTGGAGACTGAGATATGGACCAGGTTCTACCCATCACAGTTTCCCTGGAGACTGAGATATGGACCAGGTTCTCCCTATCACAGTTTCCCTGGAGACTGAGATTTGGACCAGGTTCTACCCATCACAGTTTCCCTGGAAGCTGAGATACGGACCAGGTTCTATCCATCACAGTTTCTCTGGAGACTGAGATATGGACCAGGTTCTACCCATCACAGTTTCTCTGGAGACTGAGATATGGACCAGGCTCTCCCCATCACAGTTTCTCTGGAGACTGAGATATGGACCAGGTTCTACCCATCAGAGTTTCTCTGGAAGCTGAGATACGGACCAGGTTATACCCATTGCAGTTTCCCTGGAGACTGAGATATGGACCAGGTTCTACCCATCACAGTTTCTCTGGAAGCTGAGATACGGACCAGGTTCTACCCATCACAGTTTCTCTGGAAGCTGAGATATGGAACGGTCTATGCTGACATGGTTGTGTCCTTGAGCATGATTTTTTCTCTTAATGCTCTGGATGACATGTGATGGGCCTCCTGTATGTTGTTCGGTGAAATATTCACCAACTACTTCAAGGAAATCCTGTCTCAAAATAACCCATGCTGTTGGAAGGGTGACCATTTTTAAAAATTTGTGCTATGCCTGAGTGCTATATCAGAGTGTTATACATATATATAAAACAATTCCTTTTTAGAAATCTATCATGGTGACATTTTTCAAATATTCTTAGATAAGTGGACTGTCAATTAGTATGTCATTTGGGTCACAAACTTGGCTTATGTTAGCTGACCTTTAAGCTTTCAATATAACTGAATGTATAAACCGGTGAAGGATTAATGTCCAGAGGACTACGGACAAACAAGTCATGTTTACGCTTGACCCCTATCTTATATGTATATACATAAATATGTATACCCAGGAGGTGTTGACTGTTTGATTACTCAGGCATGGTAAAGCAAACATTTAATTTCATCTGATGACATTGTGTGAAAATGTACATTAGTAGCTGTGGTTAGCAGTTTGCAGGTATGTACATTTTGTTGGTAACTAGGTAGGTAGTGTAGGTATCTTTCAACAGAGATGGTATGCAAAAGTGCTATATCAAAAACATACTTATTTGACTAAAAGCATACTAGATTCAAACTGATCAAACCAGACCTTCCAACTCATTGGTTTTTCCATAAGGAAAAAAATGCATGTTCAAAATTTAAAGCAACAAAAGTTACATTTGCATTAAAATTTCTGTTGATAATTTTTATGCCATTAGGAATGGAACAGTAATGGTGAAATAATTGGGTTTTAATGTGCTAACTTTGTTCCTCATCCATCCATGAATTACACGTCTATAAACATTTTAATTCAGATAAGAACAAGACAGAAGTTCTTTTACGAGCTGTAATTAGAATTTAGGGATTGTAAATTTCTGGGATAAGTTGTTGAAAGACCTTAAATCAGCATTAGTAATTTTGATATCAGACAGTATACATCCAACAGTGATAAGTATGGAAGCCATGCATTAACAATTTTATGGTAATGTGATGCTGATCCTTTAGCCTACAGTCACCAGATATGGGCTGTTGAAATTGTCTGTCCATCCATCTGTACACAATTCTAATATTTCTTGAGAAGGACTGGATGGATCATTCTCAGATTTCCTGGGAAGGTTGCCCTTGGTACTTAATTGCACCGTCTCTAAGACGGCCATCTTAGATTTTCACAGTTATTATAAGTTTACCATCACTATTCATGGAGATTAAAGAATTAAATGGATCATTCTAAATGTTCACATGTTGGTTTTCCTCGCTCTCTTGTTGTGGCTTGTCTTATTTTTGCTTACGTAGAAAAACAAGAATGATCGTCTGGTGGCTATCTTGGATTTTGACATTTATTGTTAGTAATCTTTTTTTTTTAGATAACAGATTGATTGTTCTCAAATTTCACTGCTTGTGTTTAACATATACAATAACAGAGCACTTTGCAATCATAATGATTGTACTTTTTCATTTAAAACCATTGATAGTTCAGAATTTCTTAGGGAAACCTAACAGTTTTTATATGGTGTCGTAATTATGGCCTGGTTAAGATCAAGTTTCCTCCTCAATTAGAAAAAGATGAAAAAGTTTCCTTCTTAATTAGAAAAAGATGGTCATACAGATGTAGAATACTGGTCATACAGATATAGAATACTGGTCATACAGATGTAGAATACTGGTCATACAGATATAGAATACCGGTCATACAGATGTAGAATACTGGTCATACAGATATAGAATACTGGTCATATAGATATAGAATACTGGTCATACAGAAAAAGACTGGTCATTCAGATAAAGAATACTGGTCATATAGATATAGAATACTGGTCATACAGATATAGAATACTGGTCATATAGATATAGAATACTGGTCATATAGATATAGAATACTGGTCATGTGATATAAAATACTGGTCATACAGATATAGAATACTGGTCATATAGATATAGAATACTGGTCATATAGATATAGAATACTGGTCATACAGAAAAAGACTGGTCATACAGATATAGAATACTGGTCATACAGATATAGAATACTGGTCAAACAGATATAGAATACTGGTCAAACAGATATAGAATACTGGTCAAACAGATATAGAATACTGGTCATACAGATATAGAATACTGGTCAAACAGATGTAGAATACTGGTCATACAGATATAGAATACTGGTCATACAGATGTAGAATACTGGTCATACAGATATAGAATACTGGTCATACAGATATAGAATACTGGTCAAACAGATATAGAATACTGGTCAAACAGATATAGAATACTGGTCAAACAGATATAGAATACTGGTCATACAGATATAGAATACTGGTCAAACAGATATAGAATACTGGTCATACAGATGTAGAATACTGGTCATACAGATATAGAATACCGGCCATACAGATGTAGAATACTGGTCATACAGATATAGAATACTGGTCATACAGATATAGAATACTGGTCAAACAGATATAGAATACTGGTCAAACAGATATAGAATACTGGTCAAACAGATATAGAATACTGGTCATACAGATATAGAATACTGGTCAAACAGATGTAGAATACTGGTCATACAGATATAGAATACTGGTCATACAGATGTAGAATACTGGTCATACAGATATAGAATACCGGCCATACAGATGTAGAATACTGGTCATACAGATATAGAATACTGGTCATACAGATATAGAATACTGGTCATACAGATACAGAATACTGGTCATACAGATACAGAATACTGGTCATACAGATATAGAATACTGGTCATACAGATATAGAATACTGGTCATACATATATAGAATACTGGTCATACAGATATAGAATACTGGTCATATAGAATACTAAACATACAGATATAGAATACTGGTCATACAGATATAGAATACTGGTCATACAGATATAGAATACAGGTCATGTGATATAAAATACTGGTCATACAGATATAGAATACTGGTCAAACAGATATAGAATACTGGTCAAACAGATATAGAATACTGGTCATACAGATATAGAATACTGGTCATATAGAATACTAAACATACAGATATAGAATACTTGTCATACAGATATAGAATACTTGTCATATAGAATACTAAACATACACTGGTCATACATATATAGAATACTGGTCAAACAGATATAGAATACTGGTCATACAGATATAGAATACTGGTCATATAGAATACTAAACATACAGATATAGAATACTGGTCATACAGATATAGAATACTGGTCATACAGATATAGAATACTGGTCAAACAGATATAGAATACTGGTCAAACAGATATAGAATACTGGTCATACAGATATAGAATACTGGTCATATAGAATACTAAACATACAGATATAGAATACTGGTCATACAGATATAGAATACTAAACATACAGATATAGAATACTGGTCATACAGATATAGAATACCGGTCATGTGATATAGAATACTGGTCATACAGATATAGAATACCGGTCATGTGATATAGAATACAGGTCATGTGATATAAAATACTGGTCATACAGATATAGAATACTGGTCATACAGATGTAGAATACTGGTCATACAGATATAGAATACTGGTTATACAGATATAGAATACTGGTCATGCCATTAGCACATTGATAAATTCTCACAACTGCAATTAGTGCAGATTTATTTTTGCACAATACTTTAAGCATGAAAAGTGATAAGAAATGATTATTGCTAAGATATGTCCAGTTACAGTAAGGGATTTTCAAACATTAAAAGACAGGCAGGAATAGGATTGACCACCTCTACATATGTGATTTCTGTCCTGGTATTCACGTTATCAATAGTTTTGCTAAAATTGAATTGTCCAAAAATAAAAACAAATTTGTTTATTGTATATATCTGCTGTTACACAGTTTGAACTTGTGTGATATAAAGGATTTTCCTTCAAGATATATATACGTTAAAAGTTTCTCTCTCATCAATGTCTTCTTCATTCACCCTTTAGAATGTACATAATGTCGTAATGCATGTATTAGCTTGTTTATCCAACAATAATAAGTATAGTTATACCTGTTGTACTGTAATAAGCCCACCTTAACTATGAATCAGTAATTAATTGTGTTCCTTATTTCTGGATAGATCCAGTATTAACCTATTGGTCATCATATCAATATGTATGCACACATGTAATTCAGTTATTATAATTTTTCAGGTAACTCATCAGAGGTCAAAGGTCAGGTCTCGATGACGTGATCTTGACATAATCAGCATAATGTGATTATCATTGCCATTAAAAGTGATTGAGGGATGGACACTGGTCTATGGTGACCTCTGACAGGCATGGAAGGTCAAACAGGGGTCAAAACTAATGACCCTGACATTTGTGTGGAGCACAAAGAAGGAAGTCAGGAAGTTATGACCTCTGATCCTTCTCATCAAGATTTTGAAGGTCATATAGAGGTCATTTGTGAAATTAAAGATCCAAATCTTGCCTCAGTTGGACAGGTCAGTGACACTGAAGGTCATCAGGAGGTCAGTTGTGAAATTAAAGATCCAAATCTTGCCTCAGTTGGACAGGTCAGTGACACTGAAGGTCATCAAAAGGTCAGTTGTGAAATAAAAGAAACAAGCCTTGCCTCAGTTGGACAGGTCATTGACACAGAAGGTCATCAAGAGGTCAGTTGTAAAATAAAAGATCCATGTCTTGCCTGTTTGGAACCTGTTGATGACGCTGTAAATCAATTAGAAGTTACCGATGATAAGTCAGATCAAATTCCTGTCTTGGGGCATGAGCTACCAGGACATGCTGAACCACAAGTAAAACAAGAGGCAACAGAACCTTTAGAAAGGACTTCATCAGTTTCTGTATCCAATGATGTAAGGCCAGAAGTTGCTCCCCTTGGAAATGAATGCTTAAGTGAAGGACTGAAGGCGATAAGCAGAGAGATCCCAACCCCTAATCCCTCATGTCAGGGGCTAGTATTCAAGGATGTGTCTGTCACCATGGGTGATACAGACGTCCTAAATGATGTGTGTGGGCTTTGTGAGGAAGGCAAACTTCTTGCCATCATGGGTCCAAGTGGTAAGTGATACTTTTCGGTTAGTTCTGAAAATAAGTCAGTCACAGTCTGAAAAAATAAAAAATGAAATAGTACCAAAGAATTTTGATTTATATTATGGAAAAGAAATTAAGAAATTGGGATTTAAGGCAAAAATGTAGGTAGGTTGAATGTCTCCTGACCATCCAAACATTTAGTTGTCTACCATAGACTTTTTATCCCTTTTTTGGCAGACAAGGACTGGTTTGAATATTATTTGTAATGAGCCAATTCAACAGAAAGAGAATACAAAACATATTTCAGACTAGGTAGTATAATACCTGTAATGTTGAAGATAAGGTATAAAAAATCAGCAGCGAAAAAAATTGTTTACTACAAATTTCAAAGTAGATAGAGTAGAGCCAGATAATAAACCATACAGCCGTTTTGTCCTTCTAGGGTTCCATATTTATTTAAAGAAATAAGTAATTTGTTGTGATTTAATTGTATAACAGAGATTGAGATATTATTTGACAGGTGCTGGAAAAACTACCCTCTTGAATACTTTGTCTGGTCGGTTGCCAGTGACAACAGGCGAGATTTCCTTGAATGGAGAACGTGTCTCACAGAAAATCAAACGGAAAATTTGTTATGTATTACAGGACGATATATTCTTCCCAAGTCTGACTCTTCGAGACACTCTAAATGTGAGTATACATAATCACGGAAAATGTCTCTAGAAGGTTCATTTTTAATGTTAATTTCCTATTACTATGTTGATGGTAATATTCACAAGGGAACTCAGTTTGGCTAACTTTGTTTTATTGAAGAATGCACACATTACTCATTTGTCTGCAATCATGTACTGACTCCAGTAACCATTAAATCAGAACAAATAACTATTTTATTCTAAAAGAGATTTCACAAGTATAACATATTATATAGACTCTCAGGTGAGAAATACTGTTATGTATTGTTCTGTAATATGAGTTAAATATGTATAACATATCATGAGAACCATTAAATTTTTAACATCAGGGGACATCATTGCAGTCCCTAGCTTTTACCTGGTGGATTTGTTTAGATACAATGATTGTATGGTCAGGTTATCGTAATTTCCATCTCACCACCATGTTGGTAGAGATCTTTTGATTAAGATGTAAATGTCTTCATACTACCTGTGAGCAATGTATTTTTACGTTCAATTACAAAGTTATGCCGCCATACTACTTAGTACTATGGACAACAGTGTATTTCAATATTTACAGATTAATATATGATTATCCATAACTGGAGTTCGCTCTAAGATAGGAAGATATTTTTTCTCTGACTTTGATATTCTGCTTCTAAGAACTAAGATTTAAACAAAGGCAGATAAGATTAATATAATACAATGGTAGGCTAGGTTTACATACACAAGTATGGTAAATATCATTACATGCTGTATTTGAAAAGAAAATGTTTGTTGTCTGGTTTCTTAAAATGTAAATAACATTTGCTACATGAAAGCAACAATGATCACATGTTCCACGAATCATATTGTCTGAGCAGCTTGTTTACATGTAAAATTAGATATAATTATCATTTTAAATGATAAAACCCCTAAACTAATTATCTATAGATGTATTAAAATGATTACTCTGTATCACTAGGTGTTACCACCTGAATTATTGAGAAAAATCACAGACTTGTGTAATATTTTTGTGTGTTTAGGCAGTCTTAGTGTGGATCATAAGACCGTTGTTTTACAATAGTATTTGTTTTATATTCACTAGTTTGTAGCCTCCATCCGTCTTCCTGATTCACTGTCACATGATCAGAAGATGTCATGCCTGGATGAGATTATCGACTCTTTGGAACTACGTCATTGCCTAGAGACCCGTGAGTGTCAAATTTACAATTTACAGCAAACGAAAACTTTCCAGAATTTGTTTATTCAAGTGAAATAATTTAACAATTTAATTGGTTTCCAAGAGTAAATAATTGAATATTTTGTATATCAGAACACTGATTTTATAGATTGGCTTGTTTGGGGTAACAGCCAAGTAAATAATGAGTTGGGATCTTCTGGCTGTAACTGATGTTCTCCTCGTTGAACATCATGCAGGAGACCCATCACTTACGATCCAGTGTGACTTAGCTTGAATGTCTTGCCCAAGGACATAATCAAATCACATTCATTAACATCCAATGCGAAGGTTAGACGGAGACAAAAGAAAATGGTTTCTTTGTCTTTAAACTTGACTTTACTAACATACTGTTTATTCAGACGAAATGGTCAAGTCTCACTGATATTATCTACCAGTTAAATATTGGTCAGCTGTTAATTTTTGCTGTATCTGGTATATATACTTAGGTGTTTGAATCTAAACATTTCTGTAAATTATGATTAACAGCCATGGGAGGCCCGATGATGCCAGGTCTGTCAGGCGGAGAGAGGAAACGGGCCAACATTGCTTGTGAACTTCTGACGGATCCTTCACTCATTCTTCTTGATGTAAGTAGAATAGCTGTGACCTACCTTCACCTTCACAGCTATTGCAATTTCTGGTTACTTTCACAATTATTGTTGGTGCATCAGTTTATTAAGCTAAAATATCAATTTCTATTTCATTAAAGTGTTGAAATTTTAATGTGCCAAAGGAGTTGTTTAAAGTTCATAAAAATAGTTCAGAACTTTCTGAGTTTATAGACTTATTTTCAAAGCTGTAGATTTCAAACACTTGAATAAATTCTTTTTTATGTGATAGATAATCAAAATTGACTTTTTATATTTACTCTTAGAAAAAGAATACAGAATGTTTGCAGGGCTTTATTCTGGTATTTTCAACCAAGTTATTTGTCATTATCAGGAACCAACGACTGGCCTTGATTCCAGTAGTGCTGCCAACTTGATGAGAACAATGAAGGATTATGCCATCTCCCACAAAAAAGTCATCATCGCTACGATACATCAGCCCTCCACTTCGCTGTTCTACTTATTTGATAACCTCCTGCTGCTGTGTGGTGGACAGGTATGTATAATGATAGAACATGCGTCGTCCTTCAGTAGGCCTGGCGTGGTCAACACATAATCTTGTACTTAAAAACGAGGATTGACTCTTTACAGGACAATGAATTGGATTCGTCAGGATTTTGGTTTTTTGGATTTTGAAAGAACTAATTGACGTTGGTTAGATAGTGCATAAAATTCTTAACCATATATAAAGTGAATTATGTTGAGATAATTTAAAGTCCTTTTCTATGCCTCTACCTTCTTATGGGAGTGTATATACCATATGTTCTGGTGCGGCTTATATGTGGATGAAAAAATCGACAAGATGAGAAGAACAAAAACAAAAAAAAACCAGGAAGCTTACTTGTACATCATTACAAGATGATACTGAGATTTTAAGAGTACCTGCCAGTTACATGTTTGTGACTGAAACAGATTTTCTTGAACCATTATTTGCAGTTATATACAGGATGATAGGAAGATCGAAATAAAAATAACATTCTTCACTTTCCCAGTTATTTCGAAGCCATAACAGAATTTTACAATAGCCTTCTGCATCCTGGGATTGATAGGTCATCTGGTTATAGGTCAAATTCTAGAACGACCACCATGCTTGTTTACGATATGAATGGTATCATGTAACTTACAAGAAGAAATAATATGGGACTGTAAATTTTTGGTCAGCATGCAAGGTCCTTTATTAATATTTAACAGTACAGACACCAATGGAGAGATTGTTTAATTCACTGTTCGTGATGTTACCAGTATTTCAAGCATCAAGAACAGTGTTCACCATATCCTAAGAAAGGGTGTGGCTTATATTCTGGTGCAGCTTATATGTGAATCTATGCTATCGATATTTTTCTCCAGACTGCCTACTATGGACTTACAGCAGACGTTGTTCAGTATTTCCGCAGCATACACTTTCCAGTTCAACCTGGTTTTAATCCAGCTGATTTTATTTGTAAGTCTAATGTTGTAAATCCTATTTATTATGTCTTAAGATTCAATTCACATATCAAAAAAGAATATGTTTCAACAAATTGAATGCTTTACTAAATTTTTAAAATGAAGGTAAACTGTATATGTAAATGTTTGAATTTTTTAAAAATGATTCAAATTTTGATGCAGTTATATTAATGCTTGTTAATGTAAAGTTGATTCTTGGATTTTAATTTTAGAATTTTTGTTTTACTTTCAGTGGATAAAATGAAGAATAGTACGACAGTCCAACAGCAGATAATTGAATCATTCAAGGACTTAAGGTAAATCTATAAACTATATATCCTTGAACTGTGTACAGATTTTTGATAGCAAATGTCATAGTTGTCCTCCTGATAAAAAAATTTTCTTATTTACTAGATAATAAATCTGATCCTTTTTCAAAATAGAGTGTATGTAATCATATGGTACCTGGTATTTATAGATAAATGGTAAAGTACATGTAGATGTCACCGAATATTGAAAGTTGCCGGAGATATTTATAGATATGGTAAGTTGATCTCACAGAATATTGAAACTTACCTGTTATATATACTTATTTTCTGCTTCTTATCTGTGAACAACTGTATCTTTCTCTCATACATCAGGTATCCATATTTTCACAGTATATTGTCAAAGTGAATGTACAACTGCCCTGTACTTCTAGACAGTGATACTTTTTTATGATTCTTTAAAATATAGATTCTTTTTCAAAAGGCAACTGTCATGCAATCTTATCAAATTTTCTTCATCTGTTTCAGACGGTCAGAGCAATGGTCGCCAGTTTTACGAGGCAAAGCAAGAAACTACATTGATGTCGATGACCAAGAATCACCGAGCATGTTGAAGGAGTTTACTTTTCCAGGCACATCTAGGAGAAATAGATTTCTGTGGTCCAGATGCTGCTCGAAGGACGTTTATAACACCAGTACTTATTATTATTGTATTATAAACCATACCTTAAACTGCCTTTGAAATTAGTTCTAAAATCAAGATTCTTTACAAGTTTGGTCTCGTAATTGTATGATTTAGTTTTTATTATCCCCATGTATTTCCAATATATTGAATTACTAATTAAAACCAAAAAATCTTAAGTGTCAAAATACCATTTATCATTTTACTAAGGGTAGTAGCTGTAAAGATTAGAAATAAACAAAATACTTTGTTCAAATTCGTCAAAAAATCTGTACACAGGAAAAAAAACTGATCTTTATATGGTGTTATAGAAAATACTAGCTGCTTTAATTGTGATCCAAATCCAAACCTAAACAATATGGCATATTTTAATATGCGAGGAGTCCTTTCAGATTGGTAATTTCAGTATCATACTTTACTCTAAATAAGCCTCCTACCCCAAGTAAAACTATTGATCAAAAGTATAGAAGTGGTTTAATAATGAGAATCACTCTTGTTATTGTGCAATTATATGATAACTTTTAGTAGTATTATATAACTGTCTGCTGACAATTTTATATATGTTGATCTAGATAACACACTACCTAATATACTGGAAGTATGCTTTTGCAATTAGATACTATGATTTAAATCAGTGAAGGAGACATAATTGCAACTTTATTTTTTTGTTTTTCGTAGACAGAAGTAGGCAGTGTAAAGATGTGTAGTAATTTCCTTTTTAGTGTAAAAAAAACCCTGCATGGTATTTTATAACAATTTCAAATTTAATTTCCTAAAGAAAATAAGATACCTGTTGTTTATTTACAGGTGATGTAAGAGCTAGTCTGATGGACTTAGAGGAAAGTGTAACGGTCAGCGGCGCGCCTAAGTTTAATACGTCTTTCTTCACACAGTATAAACATCTCACTATCAGGACTTTCAAACAATCCAAACCACGCATCCTTGACAAACTCAAACTCCTTGAAAATATTCTTATCTGTGCCATTTTCAGTCTTATTTGGTTTCAGCTGCCACGTACTGAAGATACACTTAGGGACAGGATGGGGGCAGTAAGTATTGTAGTTCTGGATTGTTTTTTTTTAATTAAAGTAGGAAGGTGAGTTAAATTATTCTAATATAATATGATTGTTGGCATTTCACTGAAAGTGTAATAACTGTTGATTGACTAGCTACCAAGTTTATTGTCATATAAATAAGGTAATGTTATTATTTATCTGCAAGAAATTTGTTTTTTTGATTTGTGTCTTAAAACATTATACATGTTCATTGTACATTGTTGGAGAGTTTCATCCTTTATATTTTAAAGATCATTTGAAATAGATGTTGTCATTGGATGAGCATTCATTTTTGCCAAGAGGTCAAATAAAGGTCATCAGGTTTAAGAACACTAACTTTGGTAGACAAGGTGAAGATCAGTAATGTTTGGTGTACAAAAATAAAAAAAAAACAGAAGGCCAAAACTTTGGTGGAGAACAAAATGATCAAGTAGAGGTCACCAAAGCTTGGTGGTTGAAGGTTAAAAAGAGATAAAAAAAGTTTGTGAAGAGAAAGGTCAAGTAGATGTAGACAAAGGTCAAAATAGGTCACAAAGGTTAGGCAGAGATCACTTAAATTTGGAGGACAAAGGTCAAGCAATGGTCATCGATTTTTGGTGGATAAAAGTAGAGTAGAATCATATAAATGTTATAAGATTAACTGATCTATCTAGGTAGAGAAAGCCATGAAGACATCCTTAGGCACATGGCAATAAAGCCTACAGAAGTCAGATATCTAATCATTTGACTATTTTGTTTTTAATTTCAGATTTTCTTTATTGCCATACACTGGGGTTTCATGCCATTTTTTGATGCGACAAGTTCATGTAAGTTTCCATCATTTTGAAACTTAACAATCAAGATTGTGATTTTGCAATTTGATTTGTAATTGCCACTGTTAATCTTTAAATGAATCTCAAATTAAAAAACACACATAAAGATACAGCACAACATCTTGTGTAATTATAATTATAGCCTTATTATCTCATACTTAAAAAAAATCCAGATAATGATGTTGTAATTAAGACCTGGGTATATAGACTTAATCATGTAACAAATGAATAGTTATCCACAGTGTGTCAGATTGGACAGATTCTGTTACATATACCCAAGTCCTTACATGCCTGTTAACGATTTTACCCCCTTTGTTGACAGTCCCGATGGAACAGATGGTGATCTATAAGGAGAGAGCCAGTGGTTGGTACCGACTCTCTGCCTACTACTTAGCAAAAATGACCAGTGAACTGCCCCTCATATTTGCCCAGCCGTTGTTTTTCCTCGTGGTGGCCTACTGGGTTGTAGGGTTGAATGGTGCTGTGGCTTTCTTTGCTACCATTGGAACTGTGTTTATAGACTCATTAGCTGGACAGGTAAGAAAGATTCAGCTATTGTATGTATTTCAGTGTTAAAGATCATTTGTGAGCATTTATAACTTCAAGGGGTTAGTATCGAGGTCACTGTTTCTAAAAATAGAAGGATTTAAATATACAAACAGGAGCAAGGGATGTAAATAGAATGAGGCACCCATGCAGTAATTCCTTGATACTTTCTCAGTAATCTAGACAATGAAGTAGTAAGTGGTAACAATGGTATCTACTTTGGAATCTTTGAGTCAGATTGTTTATCACTGAACAGTTTTTAGAGTACCATTTTTAGGACGACCAAACGAAGTTGAAATTTTAAAAAAGTGCTTGTTAAGGGTTGCAATAGGTTATATGTGTAAACTCATGTTTCTTGTATTTACAGAGTATCGGTCTGTTCCTAGGGATCATAAATAAAGAGATGCGACAGGCCATTACTGTGTCCATTCTCATCCAGATGTTAATCATGTTACTCGGTGAGTTATTGACCTCTGAAAAACAATAGAAGTCAGAACAAAGAGACATAAGATTTTTTTACTTGCTTCGATATTTCTCTGCTCTGCTAATATATTGAATTGATGACTATCTCCTTTTAGAACAGGCATGGATAACATCTTTCTTTAGATAAAAGTCTTGAGAAGATTTGCACATGTGCCATTAAGCCCAGGGAGGCTGAGTGAACCCATTACCTCTAACTCAAATTCAGGAGGTGGGCTTATTACAGGACTGTAAGCCAAGGGACCAACACATTACTTCAAACTCAAATTCAGGAGGTGGGCTTATTACAGGACTATAAGCCAAAGGACCAACACATTACCTCTGACAAATTCAGGAGGTGGGCTTATTACAGGACTATAAGCCAAGGGACCAACACATTACCTCAAACTCAAAGTCAGGAGATGGGTGCAGCATAAGCCAAGGAGGCCAACACTTAGCCTCTGAGTCAGTCAAGGGGTTGGCTATCACAGAAAAATAAGCCCAGTGCCCAACACATTGCCTCCAACTCAAAGTCAAGAGATGGCCTTATTACAGGACAACGATTTTGCATTTGTTTGTTTCTCATGGACTAATTGATAGATCAATGCTATAGTAATCAGTTCGTTTAGAGGAACTTAAATCACAGATTTAAATTGTTTTATTTTGTAGGTGGACTTTTTACCAGAAACTTGCCGTTTTGGTTAGATTGGCTGAAGTACCTGTCTTTTCTACACTACTCCTTCCACTGCCTCATGGTAATTGAGTTCCAGGATGGACCTCCTATAATGTTAGTATTGCCTCTTGTGAACATATAATGTTTTAATTTGTTGGAATGTGTTGTCAGGATGAGAGAAAATGTACAGGAAATCAACAGAGGAGATGAAAGTTCTCATAAAGGGGCAGCAGAAAAGGAAAGATAGAAATATGAAGAACCAAAATGTTGCAAATTTCGAGGCAGGATATGAATTTTGATTTGTTGCAGAAGATTTAATTTCATTATTTTGTGGTCAGGAGAGATAACACAAAATTAGATACCCAGTACAAATTTCTATAATGAATCACAATCTCCAAAAAAAACCCCTGTTTTGCTTGTATACAAGTTCACAAACATGTGTAAAATTTAATCCCCATGTATGAGTCCAGAACTGGAACAATCGCAAATTATTAGCCCCACAAAATTAAACAACTCTACAGTATTCAGTGTCCCCCTAGTAGATAGGATGTTAAGTTGCAGAAAACTCCAGTTTGGATTGAGGCTGCTCCCTCTTTTAGTGGCTTCTGTCATTTTCATGCTGTAGGATTCATCAGATGTATTACTTAGTTTTCGTAGGTTTCTTAAAAGACATCAAAGTATCAACACCTGCTGAGGAGGACCACAAAAAATTGTCTATTTTGATGGTGTGTATTACACCTAGTGTGTTTTATCCATTCTCCTGTTTAGGTCCAACTTGTGCAAAATGAAATTTAAAGGTGTTTCTAGCACCTTAAATTAGCAATATGTTTGTATATCTGTATTTTGATTATCTGTGATTTGTGTCTTTGCAGGTGCTCTGAAAATCGTAACACGTCTATTTTTGTCGGATGCCGTAACCCTAATACCACCTCTGTGCCGTCACACCTTGCCTTGGAGTATTTTGATGTTACCTGGGATTTCTGGCAGTATTTTCTTCAGCTCTTTACATTTATTCTGTTTTTCCGTATCCTAGGTTACCTAATGTTGCGCTTTGTCAACAAACCAGACTAGATTACAATACTTGAAATGTTTTCCAGGGATCAGGTTATTCTTCTATGTTCATTAAAATGGCCTTATCATTGTTTAATTATAAAATATGTTCTGTTGTACAACAGTTATTAATTTGGAGGATATAGTATAATGATAGTTGTGTTATTCTATTCCAGTGCAATGTATGTCTAAAGAATGTGATATTCTGCAGTTAAATGTGTCAGTTACATAACGGTAAAATGGTATATTTAGGATCCAAGCATTACCTAATCACATATCAATACATTTACATAACCGCTATGTCAAAATACATAAAAAATCATTTCAATGCCAAATTGAAACTTGAAAATCAAAAATATTTGTAAGACGTTTTGAGATATGTTTTTGAAGTATTTATTTTCTAGTACTCTTGATTATGAATGCATTCCATGAAATTCAATTGTATGCCATTTGTAAGATGAATGGGAGAGTTGATATATTTTTTTAAGATGACGTTTTATCTAGATTTCTTGATGCCAATATTTTTATAGACAGGACATACTTAGCTATATGCCTTTTCTTGACCAGGAATACGGAGTGGTAGCTTAGAAATAGACCAATCTGTTACTGTGGTTGTGGGTCAAGACACTATATCTCGATGGCTGCTATAGGGGGCACCCTGCATCAAAACTACCCTGACTATTGATGGGCGATATACCCAGCATACTAACAATCAAAAACTACTAGCTCAATTTTAACAAATAGATGAAGTAAACAAATCTTGAACTCCAGTTTTACACAGTAAGACTTTCAGAAAATATTTCTTAACTTTAGTCATCTTCTTTAGTATAGAAAATTTAAGGATTTTTTTTTATAAAATTTTAGTGAAAATGTGGCCCGAATCTTTTATATCAGTTTTTTCAGTGTGGTACAGATTGGTCATTTCAAATTGTTTCCATTGTTTTGGGACCTTGCTAGGATTAAATTTTTGATTTGATGTCAATACTCTGAGCATTAATGTTGATTTCTTTAGTCTAATCCAGTCCAGGCTCATTGCATTATTCTTTAACATTTTTTCATACATTTAACCAGTAATTTCTGAAAATACACAGCAAGCCATTCACTATATTTATTTTACTTTTTAAGCCATATTCTAATTTCATTCACTCGTATTTTACAAAAACAATATGGTTTTTTATCCAACAGTAAACTCAGGGTGCCAACACAAATTTCTGACTCAAGTTACAAAACCGTGGATTAGCATAATACCAGTCATGGGGCTTTCATCATTTAGATATGTGTCTACATATTTATTTTAATAAAATAAGAAGAAAACATTAAGTCGTTTTATGGTTTTTCTTCTTTGTAATGCATGTCATTTTTGCAATATTTTCTAGCTCACTTCATCAAATATATATGATACCATTAGTTTTTTGCTGCCTGACATAGATGTTTTTACATCTTTCAATTTTGACATTTTTAGTTAAAGTTTTTGTTTGCGATTATTTTTACAATTTCATCTGGTCGTACTGTACTCCGTGTGTTCCTATTTACATAGTATTTTTTCTAACAATACTGTTACATTATTATAATGTATTTTTAAAGATATATTTTGATAATTATGACTTTATTCTACTCCATCTGCTCATTATAATTATAATTTGTTTCTTATTGAAACATATAAGGGATAACAAGTTTATTTTTACCCTCCAATTTCTTTAACCTTTAACCTTGACCTTTGTATTTTGTTTACAAGCCAAGCATAGCATATCCTAAAATTTTGTACGCTTGACTGTTAAAGAGGTTGTATGTGTCTGAGTTGCTTATGTGGCAGTTTGTGTTCCTCAGGAAGCTAAGAAACAGTACTGGTGTGTGCTGATTGGTTGTGTCCTTAGATAGGACATTACTCTAATTGCCTTGAGATAGCCATGCCTATGACTAGCTTCCTGTATGTAATGGAGGTAAAGTCACTGGCTATGACTAGGAGTGCCCAACTCCAAATGACTGAAGCAAACATTTCCATTTTTAATCACTCATTTCTACCTTATTGCCATGTCAGTATGAAGTTCAGGGACAATCATAATGTATCAAATTTTATATATAATTTAAAATGATAGAGACACCAATGTTAAGCCATGTTCCACTGCTTCTTGAGGGACATTTCAATCAATTTTATCCTTATAAAAGCATTAAAATGGAACACAAAATATTGATTTCATTAATTCGTCGTATATTTTCAAAATTTAATGTTGTAAATATCAGTTTTAATCATTTTTCACACAGATAAAGCATAAGATTACTTTATTTTCTTGTTCTGAATCAATATGGTATGTAAACATTTATATCACAAAATACTTTAATGGCATGTTTTTCATTTTGTTTTTCATTAAGGGAAAACAGTAAACATTATTTTGTCATAATAATCATTAAAAAAACCATGAAAGCATAATATGATTATAGAAATAACATAGAAACAAGTGAGTTGTCTTCCAGTAAAAATGTTGTGAGTTTATTGATACTTTGTTTAAACAAATTTTACAAGATCAAATAATTTTTTTTTTAATATTTCCTTTTATTTATAAACTTCACTCAAATACATGTACTCTAACTATTTGTGAATATTTTACTATTTATTGTTATGTGTAAATTTAATTGTTTTCACACATATTGTATATTTACTTTGAAAGTCATTAATGATTGGTTAGCAGTACAGTTTCTTTTATGCTTGAATCATGATGAAGGAACAAACTCATATTTTTGAAACCTTCAGCAAGATACAGTTCTTCATTACTATTATTCCTGCTTATTCTGAATAACAGAAAAGAGGAAAGATCAAATTAGTTTTCTAAATGCAATTGTTCATGGCAATTCTAGCGATACAGGTTTTGTTCAAGACTATTCCAGTAAAACATCTATCGCACTCAGGAATCCAGGTTTTGTTTAGGGCTATTCTGTATAACATCTATCCCAGCTCAGGACTCCAGGTTTTGTTTAGGGCTAATCCTTACAACATCTATTCCAGCTCAGGACTCCAGGTTATGTTTAGGGATGTTCTGTATAACATCTATCCCAGCTCAGGACTCCAGGTTTTGTTTAGGGATATTCTGCATAACATCTACCCCAGCTCAGGACTCCAGGTTTTGTTTAGGGCTATTCCTTACAACATCTATTCCAGCTCAGGACTCCAGGTTTTGTTTAGGGATTTCCATATAACATCTATCCCAGCTCAGGACTCCAGGTTTTGTTTAGGGATTTCCATATAACATCTATCCCAGCTCAGGACTCCAGGTTTTGTTTAGGGATTTCCATATAACATCTATCCCAGCTCAGGACTCCAGGTTTTGTTTAGGGATTTCCATATAACATCTATCCCAGCTCAGGACTCCAGGTTTTGTTTAGGGATATTCCATATAACATCTATCCCAGCTCAGGACTCCAGGTTTGGTTTAGGGATATTCTGTATAACATCTATCCCAGCTCAGGACTCCAGGTTTTGTTTAGGGATATTCCATATAACATCTATCCCAGCTCAGGACTCCAGGTTTTGTTTAGGGATTTCCATATAACATCTATCCCAGCTCAGGACTCCAGGTTTTGTTTAGGGATTTCCATATAACATCTATCCCAGCTCAGGACTCCAGGTTTTGTTTAGGGATGTTCCATATAACATCTATCCCAGCTCAGGACTCCAGGTTTTGTTTTGGGATATGACCAGTAGAATTGATAATTTACTTTGAAGTATTAAACAGACAGTAAACCGGAACGTTGATAGAAGTGATTTATTTTTGAAAATTACTTAATTGTGATTACTTTCCAGGTTTGAACATTGTAGACCAAGCTACCAGGCTATTTCTTGTTATATAGATTTCTTTGTAATAACTTGCAAATAAGCTCAAATCCCTACTGTACAGAGTGAATGTCAAGGTCATATTTCACATCTGAAAGTCAAATTGATTTGATAATAGAAAATAATTTTCAGGACAATAAATTCATTTTGGCAAATAAAACTAGAATTTACTTTAGTAGTACAAGCATTTGGATCACTATTTTGTCTCTAATGTCAAGGTCACTGTTCACCCTGTTACTATACATAAAATTTGGGTTTGGAGATGATTTGATATCAAATGCATATCATTTCCGGAAAAGGGCATTAGTTCATTTTGGCTGATCAAAGTTGGTTTTTATTTGTGTTTCCATCAGAAACTTGGTTTTCAAGGTCACTTACTTTATAAAGAATATCAGACTTGGATACTTGTGTTTTTTACTGGAAGAGCTTTGCTGAGAATCACATTTCTTTTCTGATGTTTATTATACATTATACATAGAAATTTCGTTCCATAACTTTAGACTCATTGATGCCCAATCATTTTAGTATAATTTTGGTTTCATCATTATACTACACATGAAAGTGAATCCAAGGAAAAATATTGCTGTGCATAACATACCTCTAGCCTGCAGTTAAACAACTAGTGACGTGTGTATTAATAAAACATTCAGAATTTGAATTCCCTGAATATAGAGAGTAAATTTCTCTACAGTTGAGGTGGTTGTATGCTCTACATCCAGTAGTCTGTCTCTTGTCTTTCAGTGGAAAATTTTTGCTTTCCTTCATGTTAAATTGAAAATTTAAGTTGTTCATGTTCAAATCTCCTAGTTTTCTATGGAAATAATTTGCTTTCCCTAGAAAGTTTAAAATTAGAACCAGTTTAGATCAATGTCTATGTTTAAACCTCCCAGTGTTTCTATGAAAATGTTCTGTTTTCTTTCATGTTAAATTCAGATTTCAGAGGTGTTCATGCTCAAATCACTCGGTCTTTCTATGACAAAAAACCCAAAAAAAAGTGCGTAAGTGTTTAAATTCAGAATTCAATTACCTTGTAAGCCAGTTTTTGTTATTAACATAATTTATGAGGTTGTGTCTTTGTTGTTCTATACAATGTACAGGGAGTATGTATTTATAATATCCAGAATGGTTATTAATTAAGGATTAAAAAGTATAAATATTTAAACTTGTATTATTGTTTATTTGTTAGTCTGAGCACTGGATCTGTCCTGATTTTAATGTGTCATTAATAAAAGGAAGAACATTTACCTTGAATGGACTCTCTATCCTTATTCTCGTCTCTGTGATACAGTGTAAACATACTTATTTTGGAGCAGTAAAAATTTGGTGCAATATCAATTTTGGACAAATAAGAGCCATGCTGAAATCTTGCATTACTTCTATGTTAAAAACAAATCATCATACTTCAGTATGTTTACAATGTAAAATTAGTAACATGTAATGAGAAAAAATATAAAAACAATGATTTCTAAATAATTTTATTTCCATAAAACTGTTAATTTGTAAGCAACAAGTGAAAATAAAAGCCAAAGATGGCGTGCATATCTCATCTGGAAATAGAAAAACAAGATCAGGATAAAAATATTCTCTTTATTAACAACAAATATTTCTCATTGAGATCTGCCTCTGTGTAACTAAATGATGGCAACACTTTACATTAAATTTTATAAATGTATATATAGTGTTTCATTATTATTGCTGGTGCCAGGTTATCATCAGGAGGCCTATATTATAATATTAATAAACTTTATTTATTTTTTAACAATTGCAAAGCAAGTTTTTCCAACTTATATTAATCACTCTTGTTGGCTTCTGTTAACATACAGAATCTTATTGGAATGATGTTATATTTAACTTATAACACAAGTTCAATAATACCCAGGCTTGTGACATCATTATAGAACTCCTGTAATAAATTTCATAAAACACAGACATAAGTAAGATTCTATTTATCATATAACTCATATTCTTGAAAAAAAAGGCAAATCTCAAAATGATTTCCCTTAAAGACATGCTTATTTTTTACCCAAATAGTATCTTTTTCATTAATGACACAATCATGAGATGTCAGGATCAGGAGAATCACTTTGCCATATGAAGACCCAGTAATCACACCATTATCACAGAACACTGATCAGGCACTCAGGCATTTCCCTTCAGACCCCAAGGTAGCTAACTATTCCTACAAATCATACAAAGGTTCATGGACCCTGAATGTTTTAAAGCAAGGATACGGGTCCATTTTTAAGTGGCTTTTGGGTATGCATTACCATTCCAACACTAAAATTTAAAAGGAGTTAAATCCTTGTAGAATTACTTTTTCCTCTTTTCATGCCGAATTTTGTAGATGTATGGTCAATGAATGAAAATCTGCAATGTTTCTCATTAACAATCCTCAAACTGATCACTTGAGAAAGTTTGTCAATATCTACCTCTTCTTCCTTTGTTTCACTCTTGGGCTCTATCACTCCCAGCTTCCATGGCACAAGTTCTTTATATAATGCTCTTCCTTCAGTCAAAATTCATTTAAAGCTGTTCCGGAGTTTTAAAGGCTTATCTCACCATAATGTACATGTCCAGCCTTTAGCCAGTAAAAAAATATTTGCTGTAACCCCTAAGTAGGTATAAAGCCCTATACAAACCATACTTATCTAACAATAAGCCTTGCCCTGTAGTAATCCCATTGAGCTATGTTGCAGACTTGTATCACAGGTTATTCTCTGTCCCCTTAACTGAAAGCAAGATACATATGGTACTCTTGAAAAAAAAATAAAATTAACAGAATACAAAATTTCTAAGAAAAAAAACAACCAGGGAATTTATATCACCTGCTTTGAATGATTAATTCTGAAGCAGCTCAAGCCTGGCTAGAGGATGGTAAGATGCATATGTAAACCAAATTCCCTTCAATTTCATTGGCAGAGTTAATGCATGTAAACCAACTGGTCAATCAGTTATTAATTATGCATAAACATGTATGAATGACATCAGTAGTCCAATGTAGATTGAAGGGTAGTAAAATACACATTCACACTAAATTTTACTAAAATCCGTTCACATTTAGTGAAGTTCTTGCAAAGAAACTAGGACATGTAGGATAGACAGAAACCTCTAATATCGTATCTCCCTTTTTCTTTAAAAAGCTGGGGATAAACAATAACTGGTAGGTCACAGTGACCTACTTCTGATATGCTGTATACATTTAAAATGTATATTGATATATGAAGTATGATGACTGTTGACTTCTGATATTAGATTATTGAGTCTAAATGCAAAGCTTTTTCAGCATAGTAAACAGTCCAGTAAGCATACAGTGTATATACATCAGACATAATTATACTATTTTATAGTGAAACCAAGCAAAATTCACTTCATTAACCTGTGGCCATTGCACAAAAAACAATTATGTAGTTGAATGATTAAAAACGAAATTATTGTGAATGATAAAATAACAAAAAACAAAAAAAAACAATTCATTTGTACATATCACAATTACATTATTAGAATGATTAATCTATGATCAGTATTACTGATGTATTTATCAGATAGCCAGCCATCTGTAATACAACTATCCTCCATTTCCTTCATATCAGGTTAGTCATATTTATCATAATATAAAGTATGCTTACCCTAACCTTCTATTGGACAACATGTATATATGTAAAACCATGACACATTACCTGCCATAATCTTTGATATAATGTAATAAAATGTGATATTGAAAGAGGAGACGATGACTTGGTACGTGTACTACCAATGATGTGTGGCAAGATACTGATTTAATCTACCTGGCCACAAGCAGTTGTCCAATCCTGTCCAACTATACTGCTTGGTCCTTTACTTTACTATGTCTTCAACCCATTTTAGTAGGTCTGTGATGAGCCAAAATGAAAAATATGATATGTTTCCCAAATGGAACCTAATAAATGATTCTACTGATTATATAACAAATTTGTAATTGACATTCATGAAAGCACCAAAAAATTGACAAAAAGTAAATGAGATTGGAATTATTTTGTAAAATCTTAATTTTTGATTCGGAGACCTCTTGAAATTGTGACATTACAACTAAAATAAAAAGAAATTTCACAAAATCACAGTTATTTTAGATGTTAATGAACATGTGACAACAACAAAAATGTAAATGATGTAGCACTGATAACAGTATTGATATACATACAGTTTTAACATAACAATATACACTGTTATTGTATTCTTCTTCCTATCATTAGCTTTACACTTGAAGCACTATTTCTTTTTCACTAATATATTACTGTACAATCAAATATTTTTGTGGGGTTTAATTTTCATGGTAATTACTATTTTGTGAACACTTGATTTTGTGGATAAAAATAATTCAAGATATCCACTTATACTAATTCAACAGTGCATAGGTATATGTATTCATGGACATAATCAACGAAAATAAACCCCTTGCGAAAATGAATGATTTTACAGTGATGCTTGCATGAAGCAATATTTCCCTAAATTTCTGGTTTATCTACTGTTTATGGTATTTTATATTATGCATATCACAATCCAACATTATCTTTTCATCCTCTAACAGTTTGTCAATCTCATAAATCCACTAATGATAAAAATATATACAGTGATTCATAATGATAACAAAATTAAAATGAACCATCTTGTGTCCAGCACAGATGTTTTACATAGTGTACAGACATTCGTAAACTATTGGGTAATTTTTCATGATTGTCATTTGGAATTCATCAAGCATCTTGTTAGATTTCCTGTTCATCTCTGTAAGATTTCGTAGATCCACAAGTTTTGAAAGGTATGTATAGAATCGCTTGTCCTCTCCTGGGTGGACTTTCTGTATGACGTATTTGAGGCACTGTATCAATGGCCATTGTATCCTTTCAACTTGGTCTGGATCATCCAGAGGACAGCGATCTGAGAATACAGAAGAAAACTTGTAAATAAGCCCATGTCTGAACATACATTATTTTGTATGTCATAAGCAGAGGACCAACACATCATCACTGATTCCATGTCAGGGGTGTTGGTATGACCAGACCGTGGTCTTATTGCCGACAAATATGATACTGACTCTTGGCTTCTTAACTAATCCATCTTTGCATGAAAGCTTTGAATGGTTTTATATCAGTGACTTCTCTATATCTTGAATATTGAATATCAAGAGATATCGTCTATTGGAATGTGAGAAGTCTCAATCACTTAAGATATCGTGTACTGGAACTCGAGACGTCTCAATCACTTAAGATATCGTCTATTGGAATGTGAGAAGTCTCAATCACTTAGGATATCATCTATTGGAATGTGAGAAGTCTCAATCACTTAACATATCATCTATTGGAATGTGAGAAGTCTCAATCACTTAACATATCGTCTATTGGAATGTGAGAAGTCTCAATCACTTAACATATCGTCTATTGGAATGTGAGAAGTCTCAATCACTTAACATATCGTCTATTGGAATGTGAGAAGTCTCAATCACTTAACATATCGTCTATTGGAATGTGAGAAGTCTCAATCACTTAAGATATCGTCTATTGGAATGTGAGAAGTCTCAATCACTTAGGATATCATCTATTGGAATGTGAGAAGTCTCAATCACTTAACATATCGTCTATTGGAATGTGAGAAGTCTCAATCACTTAACATATCATCTATTGGAATGTGAGAAGTCTCAATCACTTAACATATCGTCTATTGGAATGTGAGAAGTCTCAATCACTTAACATATCATCTATTGGAATGTGAGAAGTCTCAATCACTTAACATATCATCTATTGGAATGTGAGAAGTCTCAATCACTTAACATATCGTCTATTGGAATGTGAGAAGTCTCAATCACTTAACATATCATCTATTGGAATGTGAGAAGTCTCAATCACTTAACATATCATCTATTGGAATGTGAGAAGTCTCAATCACTTAACATATCGTCTATTGGAATGTGAGAAGTCTCAATCACTTAACATATCGTCTACTGGAACTTGAGAAGTCCCATTCACTTAAGATATCGTCTATTGGAACTTGAGAAGTCTCAATCACTTAACATATCGTCTATTGGAACTTGAGAAGTCTCAATCACTTAACATATCGTCTATTGGAACTTGAGAAGTCCCATTCACTTAAGATATCGTCTATTGGAACTTGAGAAGTCTCAATCACTTAACATATCGTCTATTGGAACTTGAGAAGTCTCAATCACTTAAGATATCGTCTATTGGAATGTGAGAAGTCCCATTCACTTAAGATATCGTCTATTGGAACTTGAGAAGTCTCAATCACTTAAGATATCGTCTACTGGAACTTGAGAAGTCTCAATCACTTAAGATATCGTCTATTGGAACTTGAGAAGTCTCAATCACTTAACATATCGTCTATTGGAACTTGAGAAGTCTCAATCAATCACTATTGGAATGTGAGAAGTCTCAATCACTTAGGATATCGTCTATTGGAACTTGAGAAGTCTCAATCACTTAAGATATCGTCTACTGGAACTTGAGAAGTCTCAATCACTTAAGATATCGTCTATTGGAACTTCAGAAGTCTCAATCACTTAAGATATCGTCTACTGGAACTTGAGAAGTCTCAATCACTTAAGATATCATCTATTGGAATGTGAGAAGTCTCAATCACTTAGGATATCGTCTATTGGAACTTTAGAAGTCTCAATCACTTAAGATATCGTCTATTGGAACTTGAGAAGTCTCAATCACTTAAGATATCGTCTGTTGGAACTTGAGAAGTCTCAATCACTTAAGATATCGTCTATTGGAACTTGAGAAGTCTCAATCACTTAAGATATCGTCTATTGGAACTTTAGAAGTCTCAATCACTTAAGATATCGTCTATTGGAACTTGAGAAGTCTCAATCACTTAAGATATCGTCTACTGGAACTTGAGAAGTCTCAATCACTTAAGATATCGTCTATTGGAACTTGAGAAGTCTCAATCACTTAGGATATCGTCTATTGGAACTTTAGAAGTCTCAATCACTTAAGATATCGTCTATTGGAACTTCAGAAGTCTCAATCACTTAAGATATCGTCTGTTGGAACTTGAGAAGTCTCAATCACTTAAGATATCGTCTACTGGAACTTGAGAAGTCTCAATCACTAAGAATTTTTTTTTTATTTATGATAATATACATTGCCACATGATCAAACCAATGATATATAGTTCACAGCTATTCACCCATCTACTTAGAATACAACAAGAGGCCCATGGGCCTTAACGGTCATCTGACAAAAAGCAAGCCAAACCTAGAAAGTGGGTTGAGGTCATTCATTTGAACAAACTTGGTAGCCTCTCCTCCAAGCATCTTACAGGCCCAATATCAGCACTCATGGACTTTTGCTTGTTGAGAAGAAGTCGTTTGTATATTTTAACATATTTGACCCCTGTGACCTTGAAAGTGGGTTGAGGTCATTCATTTGAATAAACTTGGTAGCCTTTCCTCCCACATGCTACAGACCCAATATCGGCACTCATAGACTTTTGCTTATTGAGATGAAGTCCTTTGTATATTTTAACATATTTGACCCCTGTGACCTTGAAAGTGGGCCAAGGTCATTCATTTGAACAAACTTTGTAGGGCTCCATGCCAGCATGCTACGGGCCAAGTATTAGCCCCCTAGGCCTTCTAGTATTTGAGAAGAAGTTATTTAAAGATTTTGAATGTGACCTTGAAAGTTGTTCAAGGTCATTCATTTAAATAAACTTGGTAGCCTTTCCTCCCAGCATGCTACAGACCCAATATCGGCACTCATAGACTTTTGCTTATTGAGATGAAGTCCTTTGTATATTTTAACATATTTGACCCCTGTGACCTTGAAAGTGGGCCAAGGTCATTCATTTGAACAAACTTTGTAGGGCTCCATGCCAGCATGCTATGGGCCAAGTATTAGCCCCCTAGGCCTTCTAGTATTTGAGAAGAAGTTATTTAAAGATTTTGACATATATGACCCCTGTGACCTTGAAAGTTGTTCAAGGTCATTCATTTAAACAAACTTGATAGCCCTTCATCCCAGCATGCCACAGGCACAATATCAGCAATCTGAGCCTTTTGGTTATTGAGAAGAAGTTGTTTAAAGATTTTAACATATACCTGTGACCTTTAAAGTGGGTCAAGGTCATTCATTTGATATATAGCATGTCACAGGCCCAATATCTACACTCTGAGCCTTTTGGTTAATGAGAAGAAGTTGTTTAAAGATTTTAACATATTGACCCCTGTGACCTTTAAAGTGGGTCAAGGTCATTCATTTAACAAACTTGGTAGAGCTCCATGCCAGTATCCTCTGTGCCAAGTATTAGCTAGACCTTCTAGTATTTGAGAAGAAGTCGTTTGAATGAAAAGTTTAACTACCTACCTCAGAAGCATGATGACAACTACCCTACAATCCTAATAATGATAAGCCTCAGTATACATGTATCTATTTAACTATATACCTTGCAGTACAATCACAATAGCCCTCTGTACAGCTATTCAACTACCTACCTCAGTCAACTACCTACAATCCCAATAGCTCTCAGTATACATGTATCTATTCACCCATTAATTGAAATAAAATCACAATTGCCATCAGCAGTTTTTCTACCACCTACCTCAGAACACACTCGCGATAGTTTTTCACATACCTATTCAATCACCAAACTCGGAATAAAAGCATAATAGCTCAGCATATCTATTCAATCACCTACCTCAGAATACAATAATGATAGCTCAGCATGTCTATTCAACCACCTACCTCGGAATACAATCACGATAGCTCAGCATGTCTATTCAACCACCTACCTCGGAATACAATCACGATAGCTCTCAGCACAGCAATTTCTTCGTAAGACAAGGCAAGTTTATGCATGACTCTTGCAAAATGTTCCTGACCATTAACAATATCCTCTGATCCCCAGTACTGTATGGTTTCCTCACGGTGAAACTTTATCTCCAAACCCACATTACATCCCAAGTCAGGGTTAATGTGAAGATAGTGTCCCAGGATCCAGTACTCAAACCTAGAGTCTGCAGAGAAACAAGTAAAACTAGCATTAGAAAATTAGAAAAAGAGGGAACAAACAAAGAGATTAAAAGGACATGATGCATCAACCTCGGAGAGAGATTTGTTTTTTGAGAAGTAAATACGAGACTTAAAATTAGACATGAAAGGTGAAAATTAAATACAAGAGAATCATGATTAGTTAGATGCATCTTGTAAATTCCCAAGCTACAATGAAGCACATTTGGTGGTTGTGCTAAAATCAGATTTCCTTTCAAAGTACAATAACAATGACTGTGATGTTACGAACCAAATATGATATCCCATACAACAAGCAGTAAAGTCCATTAGTATGATACTTGGTTACAGGAAAATCAGATTTATCTGTTCTATTTATAGTAACAGTAAAATTTGGATATCTGACCATTGGAACTGAAATGTTATTACTTGTTGTAAGTATAAAATTTCAGCTTGACCAGTACAAGGAAACTCAGTACAAGGATGCTAAAATGTATTGCACAGAAACTGGTTTTCTTTTTGAACTTACAATGACATACCTAGAACTTTGATTTCAAAATCCAAGAAACTATCCCAAATGAAATAATCAATATATGTGAGACACACAAGTGATTAACACCTTTCAATACAAATTTGAATTAGATACAGTAAAGCCAAATAAGGAATTAAACTGCGTCATAAAGCTATTTCATTCTACAGAGATACTAAGGGCCTAAATTGTTAGACCCTTCAAGCAACTTACAGAAATGTATATAAGCTGAAATACCAAGTAAATGTCAACATTCAGAAAGGAAATTGCAATAACATCCAATTTCAATCAACATCTATTTCCTTATTTTCAACGTTAAATATTGTCAAGGTACTGTATTAGTTATAAGTTAACGCTTTATTTGCCCACTTAATCACTAGAAATTCTTTGTAAGGACAATTCCATCAATGCTGAGCAAAAGCCACCACTGTTAGGCCAAGATTTCATACTTTTTATGAGCGCAAGTTTGTCTGCTTTGGAGAGGTCATTGAAACCCGGGATGACTTTGGCGAACGTGATGTACTTGATGATTCCACGATGTATGTGATCAACAGTTTTATTTAGCTTTGCCAATCGGTCGTCAATGTCTATTCCAGTCATATTGTATATGCTACGATGCTCTTCTGTGCTGATAGCACCTGCCTTCAATCCAAACACTTCCTTACGTAGTCTATAACCATCCTGTCAAATTTAAATTATCATTTACAAAAACATATTCTTCAAATAAGATTGCATTGGTATCTCAAAGAAAAAATATTTCTTCTCTGCATGTAGACATATACAGCCAGACAGACAATTGAATTCTCAGTGTAAACGGCCTTTATCTGATTACATTAGATAATCTAGGTTACAAAGCAGTTGTTTTACAACTTCAGTATCAGCCAACAGTCAAACCTGTATCCTCTCAGTGTTTGGATCAACCCATTGAAATGATTCCCTCTGTGACCTTAGAAAACAGTTTGAGTTGGTTCCAACACCTCCGAGAAATAGGTTTCATTGTTGCTCGATTAGGCCAGATAAAATTGTATAATGTGATAACCATTTACCTTATGACTTGTAAGTAACATTTAATATGAATAGCAACAAAGGGCAATAAGTAAATTATCTTCACTGGTTCCAATATGGAGTGAAAGAGCCAGCCTACAGCAAGTTCATGTGATTGAATACTCCATATTGTGTACCCTGGGTAAATATTAGCCACAATTTACCTCTTGGATAGAGAGGTCCTCTCTTCAGTTTGATCAGTTGAGCATCAGACTAGCAAGCCAGAGATGCAATGTTCAAATCCTTGCAGAAGCATTTACATAAATAATGACCTAAGTTACATTGGCGCCCATGTAGGGACTCTAAAATAATGCTTAGTGTTACTTTGAAACCGTGCCACTGTAACTTCCTAAAACTTGAAGATGAGTTCTTTCCTAGAGGAGGAGTATACAGACCTGGTAAAAACCTGTTATAATAATATACAACTTGGCTAGAGAGTACTTTTCTGTCACAATCGGTGAAGATTTTTGTTGACATCTATTGTCTGATAATTTGTTTGATATTGTGCTATACTGTTACGAAACGCATCAGATATCAGAGCTTGTTAACTTGTTGTCACAATAATTCCAGGACTAAGAAAATTTAAAGAACAATATATCACCTGTTGAATCATTGCTGTACCACCTTTATGGTATACCTGATATAGAAAATAGGGTTTCCTAACAGTATACCTACCATGAAATCAGTCTGTAATTTTTCTGTGAATTCTTTATTGAAGTAATTGATGAGGTTGGGGTAGATCTTTTCTTGTGCAGTTACAAGAAGGTTGATGATCTCTTGCATTTCTGCCTCTCCTAGAGTCAGGTCTTCAGTGTGTGTGGAATTCACGGTAGGATCAGATACCAATGGTCTCTCCTCATTAAATACTTTTCCCATTAATCGTTTACTCTTCCTTTTCTTTTTCTTTTCTGGAATGATAAATGAGAATAATGAAATTACCATGAAATGAATTCATACCTAAGGAAAAAATTAATATATTTCCTAATGGAAAGAAATTTAAAGTAACTCATTGCCTGACTTCTATTGCCGCTGTTTAGAAAGGCAAACAATAGATTCAAGAGGGATCTTGGCACCCAACATTGTTTCATTGTTATATGAAGTGTGAGGATTCCTCATATGAATAGCAATAATCATCTTTGACAGTCAATTCAAAGATGGTAACTTGTCAGCAATTTTATCATGTGATCAGTCCAAAAACTGAAAGAGCATAGCAAGTGACCAGGTGGAACTGACATATGAAATTTGAGACAACTCCTTCTTGTCCTTCTCATGAAACATTGATAACAAACTTAAGTAATCAAAATCCAAGATGGCCACCTGTCTGCCATTTTGTTTTTCATAAGTCTATAACTCAATTAGGCACAACTTGGGACAAAAGGGAACCTACATCAGAAATTTTGATACAATAAGGTAAAGGATGGAGTGCCAATACCATAAGTTTTGTGACTGCTAACCTTTCAGTTGACCTGAAAGTGTTGTGACCCCTGACCTACCTGTAGCAGGGCTTAGGGGGAGTTCTGTGGGTTGTGAAGTAGATGTGACAGTGTCAGATTCCTCAGATCCACTCCTGGCATTTCTTGACTTCATCTCTGTAGATAAAGCCTTCTCGTAGTCAGAGCTTGACACAGCATCTTTTCCCTCTAGACGTTTGACTTCCATGATGGTCTTTGTACGGATTGCAATTGTATAGCGGCCATGTCGTACAGCTGAAATTACACAATTTGAACAGTCAATTACAGTGTGTATTTTGGTGAGCTTATCTATTAGACTTAATTTTGATAATGTTATCACATTTCACAAACATAAATTAAATTATAAAGAAGCTTATGACACGGCAATTGGAAAAGCCAGCCATCTGTGGGGATAAATGCATCTAACAACAATGTTGTTTGATGTAGATTTCATATCAATAGTAGTCAATATAAGGCTTTATATCGTTAAAATAAGTGAATTTATAAGACTGGTGGCAAAAATAATAATTTCAACAATAATTTGCCAGGGACTTGAGCAGTAAGCTCATGCCGTTTACAAAATAATAAGACTCCAAATTAATGGGGAATTGTCAACAGAGATTAAGGTTTACACATGTGATGGTATGCATAAAACTCAAATATATAGTCAATGGCAGGCCATATAAGAGCAGTGTCAAAAATATGTCTTCAGGATCAAAAAGTCAGGCTCTGTCTTACCCTTCAAACAAAGGACAATAACTCATAGAGAAGTAGGGGTCTCTTGACTCTTACCCTACTCTCTAACACACAATACAGTGTATGCAGACAAAGACACTTCTCCAACATTAGGGAAGACTTTTGACACATCTTATGAATATGGAATAGTTCTTGTCTTGTCAATTCCTATGATGATATACATTTAAAAGGCACAACTTTTAACATTTCTCTCCTGAACTGCAGAATGAACTGATTAAGCAACACCTCTGCAACAATAAGGGCTTCTTGATTAGGAATGACATGGGTGTCACACCACTTTGTAATGGACCCATCACATCAACAGTGATGCATTCAATTGAGGGCAAAGTACAAAATGTTGCAAGGGAGCATTTGGAGGTAAAGGAGAAAGTTTCCTGTCAGATAAAACAAGCCCTGCACCATTGTTCAATATCTTTTCTAAGTCTATAACAGTAACATCTGGCCCTAACTTTGTCCAGTGTCTTAGCAATACCTAGATGACAAGCAGTCTTGAAGTTGTGAAGCTCTTCAAGAGCAACTATCCGCCACTGCTTGTATAGATTTTACTGTCAAACTGTCTAGAGAACACCAGAAAGGAGATACAAGTGTCCAAGCATGACCAGTAATGTTTAACACCAGGAGGTTGATAAGAAATGTCCGCCCAAAAAGGTTTTTGTCCACTTTGTTATCAGAGTTATAAGTGACAAAGCATGACCTATAATGTTTAACACAGGAGACTGCTAAGTTCCATCCTCCCATACAGGTTTTTGTCCACTTTGCGATGTTTAACACAGGAGGCTGCTAAGTTACATCCTACCATACTGGATTTTGTCTGCTTTGTTATAGGAGATACAAAGTGACCAAACATGACCAGTAATGTTTAACACAGGAGGCTGCTAAGTTATGTCCTCCCATAGAGGTTTTTGTCTGCTTCGTTTCCAACCTTCAAATACACTTGGGATATTGTCATTCTCATAAAGCTTTTTCAATCCATCAAATAACATACTTCCATCTATCTGTTCAACGTGTTTGTCAGTCTTATCTGAAAGATTCACAGTTATTATAGCCGCTCAGCAATTTCCTAAAATAAGTGATAATCCGTTCTTGGTAATCCTCTACATGGGAGAGCACTCTGCAAACACCTGTATTGCTGGCATCCAGGATAAAAGGTTTGTCCCTTTGAGGTCAAGATTAGTGGATAGACCATTCTTTATTTGAGCTTTTTGAATGCAGATTCGCAGGCATCAGTCCGTAGGAAAACATGACCAGATTCCATCAGTTGATGCAATGGCACTGTTAAAGCATCTATGATAGACTCACACTGAGAAAACTGCTTATTTCCTTGATAAACTTTGGTATATACCAATCCTGAACAGCAGACACAATTTTTTTTATCATTTACAAAACCTTCCCCGGCAATTAGATGACTGAAAAGATTCACTTTGTATCAAAAAAGACAATAATTTTTAGGACTCTGCTTTAGAGAAAATCAAAATTTTTGAGATTCTGCTTTAAAGCAGCAGATTGTATACAATCTAGGACCTACATCAGATGGTTCAATTCTTGCTCAAAAGAACTAGCATAGACTATAACATCTTTCAAATACACTAAACAAATCAAGTTAAGCATATCAAAACTTCTGCCATTCAGCTGTAAAATGTGGAAGTGACAGATAAGCCCTCCACATTAGCTATGAGGTCAGACTCAAAACAGAATGTATTGCTATGCTACAGCCCTAAAGAACAGCTTCCAGCAGTTTTCTTGAGTTCCAGTCAGTTTGGGATTTAGCATATACTTGTTGCTTGTCATTATCTACATTTTGGTTTGAACTGGTATGATTTGACCCTCGGCCATATTGGTTCTGTGTCTAGTGATTAATAAAATAATCAGAATTTAGTTTTAACATTTCTTCTTTTACTACTTCTTAACGATGCCACTACTTGGTCTCTGGGTTTAGTACTGGTAGGACAAGAAGAGATTTGGAGTGTTTTCCTACTTCACCCCTCTCTTCAACTGCAAGTACGAACTGATTCCTGTTCTTGTTTGTTAACTTACAGAATTCATGTCTCTCAGCTTGATTTAAAGTCTAATAGCTTCTTACAAGCGCAGATGAATACATGTAAATAGAACTACTTTGGCATCAATAAAAAAGTCTATAGAGAGAGTCTCTAGGACTAACTGTTGTAATTTTGGGTATGCTTGACGAGTAAGTTGGAATATGGTTTGTGACAAGTTGAATATTGATTCACCTTTTTAATTTGCAGGTTTGTGAGGGATTTGCTCTCACTACCAAACTTTCATTGGAGAGATGTGGTCAGTTCAGAGAAATTGCTGTGAGTAGTGCTATCTAAACCACTCAGTATTGACCTTGTAGCACCAGACAGACTTCCTGCCAAATACAAGCCTTTTTTGCATCATTCCACTGGGGTGTAAATGTGACAAATAGCAATAATCTGTTAGGGGCTCCTGAAGTAAGCTCATATCATTTAACAAACAACTAATTAATGGGAAGTAGAATGAAGGCACTAGAATTATATATGTCTTAAAAGTTCCATTCAGCAATAAGAATTAACATTTAAAAGTGTACAAGTATGTATAAAAATATACGATGTAGTAAGTGATAGGCAACATAAGAGCAGAGTGTCAAAAACATGTCTAATGAATCAAACAGTCTGGCTCAATCAAACCAACAAAGACACACTGCTCAACAAGAAGCAGTGGTCACTTGCCTTTCACACTGTAGCACAAGATATAATGTTGCAATATGCAAACCAAGCCACTTTGCCAAAACAAGAGGCCCAGAGGGCCTGTATCGCTCACCTGGATCTTTACGACCAACAGTACTATATCTGTGCATATAATCCACCTTTAACACATTTGACCCCTGTGACCTTGACTATGAATCAAGGTCATTTCTTTTTGCAAACTTTCTTGAATTTCATAAAAGGAACATATTGGCCAAATATAATGATTCTAGGCTTTTTGATATTTCAGAAGAAATTGTTTAAACATTGTAACACATTTGACACCTGTGACCTTGCAGATTGGTCAAGGTCATTTCTTTAAGCAAACTTTGTAGGACACCATAAGAGGGACATAGTAGCCAAATATAATGATTCTAGTCCTTCAGGTATTTGGGGAGAAGTGGTTTAAATGTTTTAACACATTTGATTTCTGTGACCTTGAACATAGGTCAAGGTTATTTTTTTTTGCAAACTTTGTTAAGCTTTATCAAAGGAACCTTCCAGCCAAATATAATGATTCTAGGCCTTCCTGTATTTTAGAAGAAGTTGTTCGAAGATTTTAACACATTTGACCTTGAATATGAGACAAGGTCATTTCTATTCACATACTTTGTTAGGCTTTATCAAAGGACCTTCCAGCCATATATAATGATTCTAGGCCTTCCAGTATTTTGGAAGAAGTCGTTTAAATATTTTAACACATTTGACACCTGTGACCTTGAATTTGGGTCTACGTCATTTCTTTTTGCAAAATTTGTTGGGCTTCATCAAAGGAACCTTCCAGCCATATATAATGATTCTAGGCCTTGCGGTATTTTGGAAGAAGTCGTTTAAATATTTTAACACATTTAACACCTGTGACCTTGAATTTGGGTCTACGTCATTTCTTTTTCCAAATTTGTTGGGCTTCATCAAAGGAACCTTCCAGCCAAATATAATGATTCTAGGCATTCCAGTATTTTGGAAGAAGTAGTTTAAAGGTTTTAACACATTTGACCTCTGTGACCTTGAATACAGGTCAAGGTTATTTCTATTCACAAACTTTGTTAAGCTTCATCAAAGGAACCTTCCAGCCAAATATAATGATTCTAGGCCTTCCAATATTTTGGAAGAAGTAGTTAAATTTTTTTTCACACATTTGACCTCTGTGACCTTGAATATATGTCAAAATCATTTCTTTTTGCAAACTTTGATGGGGTTCACCAAAGGAACCTTCCAGCCATATATAATGATTCTAGGCCATTCAGTATTTTAGAAGAAGTAGTCTAAAGGTTTTAACACATTTGACTTCTGTGACCTTGAATATAGGTCAAGATCATTTCTTTTTGCAAACTTTGTTGGGGTTCACCAAAGGAACCTTCCAGCCATATATAAAGATTCTAGGCCATTCGGTATTTTGGAAGAAGTAGTTTAAAGGTTTTAACACATTTGACCTCTGTGACCTTGATTATAGGTCAAGATCATTTCTTTTTGCAAACTTTGTTGGGGTTCACCAAAGGAACCTTCCAGCCATATATGATGATTCTAGGCCATTCGGCATTTTGGAAGAAGTAGTTTAAAGGTTTTAACACATTTGACCTTTGTGACCTTGAATATGGATAAAGGTCATTTCTTTTGCAAACTTTGTAAGGAACCTTCCAGCCAAATATGATAACTCTACGCCTTTCAGTATTTCAGAAGAATTTGTTTAAAAGAAAAGTTGACGGAAGCAGGACAGACGACCATGTGACAGACGGATGACAGACGCCGCGGTATGGCATGACCTCACTTGGCCCTTTGGGTCAGGTGAGCTAACTAGGCAAAACCTTTTGCTTAACATACTATAATTTTATTAATAGGATTGGTATCCAGAATGGCTGCTCCACCTCGACATGTACATGTATACAAGTAAATAGCACAGATAAAGGAAACATACAGTCAGTTGCTCACATATGTACAAATGTACAACTACAACTGAAGTGTAACTTCGTGACACTATGCATATCTTTGTTGAGAATCAGAAAAAACTACACAGTTACATCACAAAAAGCAATATCTATAACCAGAAGAAATTTTGGACTTAGATCTTAGGTTTAAGTCAGGTGATTATTGAGGCCGGCAGGTGACACGATTGTTCTAGATTTTCCCCTAGCTTGAGAGTACGATAGGAATTACTACAGGTTTTCTCATTGTTTATCTTCTGTTTGTTGGCACATGTGACCTCTAGCTTGTAAGTGTGACGACAGAAGTTAGAACTGGCAAGTACTATCATGAAAAATTTGGGACCTTATATCTAAAAGGTGTTTATACATTATGTCTACTTGAAAATAAAATTTTAATAGGTGACTAAATAAAACATAGATTGAGACTGATCCAAGTACACATTAAGACAAGAAGCATCCACTGACAGATTCCAACATCTCACTAACAATGTGTATTTATAAATCTATAATTCATTTCATAACAGACTACAATGCATCCTACTGCAATTATTGTTAAAATTTTTGAGTGGCAGTATCCTGTTGTAGACATGTTTAGCCTGGAGTCATACATGTGTGAACATGCCTATCCCATCCCTGTATCCTGATGCAATGTCACATTTAAACCCAAATGAATTAATTTTCGGATTCAAGTTCTGTTTTTTCACTTCCAAGCAGATTCAAGTGTGTTTCAGGTCCTCTTTAACAATGTTCCATTAATTCAAGTCTTCTTGAATTATGTTTCAGATTCCAAATTTCAAATTTTGGATCAAGATAATTAAATGTTTGAATTTGGTATTACTTAGAATTATTGGGTGGGAGGGAGCAACATATGAATTCTGATTCAATGTCAGGATGAGAGATTATTACAGAAAAATGAAAAAAAAACTGGATAATAATTGTTCTGAACAGCACAAGACATGGGCTTATTGATTTATAAATATGGTTTTGTTAAATTCAAACAATACCACTGAAAATCAAATCGGATGTGTCACTGTAGGCACACCTACTTATCAAATTAACATGTGAAAGTGATATACTATAATAAGTGTTATATATGGTAGAAAGAACAATATCCTATTCATTAAATACTTATTATCTACTAAATATATAAGGCATTCAATATTAAATCTTCAAATCAGTTTTATTTTCTAGTGATTAAGTTGTAAACTTTAATGAAATTACTACATATGCAAACGTAATTTTCCATAGCATTGTTTAATGTTAAGAATATAAAGTTTCTTTTTAAAGATAAATATATACCTGACAAGTTGCTAATCAATACTAAAAAAGGTTTGAGATACCTCACAGCTGGGAAATGCTATATTTGGTTATTTTTGTAGATATCATATTTATACAAAGGGCTAACATCATTACATCATAGAAATATGATCAATTAATTGATATATGATGGCACCAGGTACTGTCATGCTTGATTAACTCAATGATACATTTTACCAGCAGCGGTCTTTTAAGTTATAAACAAATGCTATTGCATAGTCCAGTACTAAGCCCACCCCTTGACTTTAATAAAAACATGCAGGTCTGAAGACTTATTGCAGAATAAAAAAAATTTTGATATGCTTACATTTTCGCCAATATTGTGACCAATAAGTCAGTATCTGGTAATACTTACACCTGTAGCTATTAGGAAAAATAACTACTTTCAATCTCTTCCCCTGACTTTGAGTCTGCTAGAGGTAATGTCTTTTAATAATCTCTTCCCCTGACTGAGTCACCTAGAGGTAATGTCCTTTAATAAACTCTGCTGCTGAGGTAATATCCTTCAATCATCTCTTTTCCTGATTTTAAGTCAGGTTAAGGTAATGGCCCTTTATTAATCTCTTCCCCTGACTTTAAGTTAGCTAGAGGTAATATCCGTTAATAATATCTTTCCTTGACTTTGAGTTAGCTACAGGTATTATCCTTTAATAATCTCTTTCCCTGACTTTGAGTCAGGTTAATGTAATGACCTTTAATAATCTCTTTTCCCGGACTTTGAATCAGAAGTAATGTGTTGACCCCCTGGATGTCCAAAGGTCAGGGAGATGGAATAGTATTTTCTTCTTTATTCTACTGTACAATCAGTAAGTGTATCACAATACATGGACTTATTGATTGATAAATACAAACACATGTAGATTTTTTAACACTCAGACGTTGATAATATTTTGCTGCATTACACACATACACAATATGTGACTTCAAAATTCAGTGTTATCTTCATATACTATGTTTAACTCTTAATATCACTTACAATATCAACAAAGTGTAAGCACAGAAACAGTTATGTTGCAAACAAGAGTTCTAATTATGAATGACATGTATGACTGATTCACATACCTCCTCTAGACATTCCCAGATCAAAACATTTCTTTAGACGACACGCAGAGCAGTTTCCCCGCCGTCTGTCGGTGATGACACAGTCATCGTTAGCAGTGCATTGGTATTTATTTTTTTCCATTGAAGCACGCCGAAAGAAAGCCTGTGTACCAAAAAAATTCATTTTGAGTGACTGAAGATTTCAATTGGTAGTTCTGGGGTAATTAATCTGTTATATACCTAATCAATTATGTATTCATATTTTTCAGGAAGTGTCATGACAAAAAGTTAACATTTTGGCATCATGGTGATTAATAAAATAATGAATAAAATTCATATTTCAAACATTTTTTAAAATAGTAAATATGCCTGAAGCATTTTCTTGTTCATTTTTCTTTTTATTTATTTTATTCTGCCTTTCTTCCCTTGTACATCTATAAATCTTTTTTGTCAGGTATTATTTCATGTGTATTTTTTTTTTTGGCATAATGAAGTATAAATTTTAATCCATATAACATACTCAGTTTCCATATGACAAAATGAAATAATGGCAGAAAAAAAAGAACAATTTTTTTTGTTGATTTTTATAAAATTTCAGAGTTACATCATGCCAGTGTGAAACAAATGACAGTGGTATAATTACCTTGCATGCTTCACAGGTGTTGATACCATAGTGTATACCTGTAGCAATCCCTGTACATATACGGCAAGGTGGCAAAGTTAGGGGATCCGACATCCTCAACAGGTATAAAGGTAAGTATTACAGATGTCTGACATTACAGGTAAACATCAGTATTATAGAAACTTTACATCACAGGTAAAACATCACATGAGTGTCACAAGTAAAATCCATATATTGGACTGGATTTTGTAGTATCTTGGAACTATAGAAAAGAAAAAAAAACATAATAAGAGTCAATTTTATAAACAATACTCATAAGGAAATCCTTAATATGACATGAAGTTATTTTGTGGTTAATGTGGTTAAATTTGCTTGTTTTTTAAAAGAAAAAGGATGGTTTCACAGAAACTAAAACAAACAAAAAAACAAAAAAAAATATGGACAATGGTTTGTCTGTTTAACTTTTCAAGGTATTTGTATTGTGTAACTTAATTACATCATAAAATGGTACCTTTGCAGCATATATATGTTTATGACCTGAAACTATATGTTATCTATATCTGGTAATCAGGTGATATATAAAAGTAGGAAACACATGATCATTTCTAAGGATCGGAACATAATAGTGAGACTGATAATGATCTAAGAAATGACATCAGAAATATCATATTCTACTTATTTTTTCTACCTACCTATTCAAACTTTAATCTAACATCAGTTTAAACAAACACAAAATACTTTTACAAGGGAAAGGAGAACGGAAATATACCATGCCCTCATCAGGGTTCAAACTAGTGTGGCAGATTTTAATTGTATATAAAATCAGGGAATTTCCCTTTAGCTCAGTATTAGAGTGTCCATCTAGAGACCTGGAGGTTGCGGGCTTGATCCCTGGTGGAAGGACACTATTCTCTTCCTGTTTCACTAGTAACCCTTTGGTCTCTATCTGGACACTAAAATACAGCTTGACAAAAAGGAAATTCACATTAGTTGAGGCTATAATTAAGGTGATCTGTACTCTCAACTTCTACACTTTATCTTATTTATCTAATCTACATTTAATTAGTGATAAACTTGTGCAAAATAAGCTGGCAATAATTATACTGAGGATTGCGCAATCAGTTGTAGGACAAATTTAGCTCTACAACATATGATTAATTTTTAATTTCTCCAAAAGTGATATGACATGTTTACTTGAATTGATATTATTTTATGAAATTGAAGACATCATATCCTGAATATGACCAACAGCATAAGTACAAATGTATACTGTAAGCATTATATACAATACATTTAACAGCTGCCATTAACATATATCTATATTATTTTCATAGAATATTTCATTGAAGATATAATCTGACTGTTTTTATCTGTTTAAACTGATTGGGTCCAATAAAATTACAATATACTACTTTTACTTATGATATCATTTTAACAAATGTATAAAGAAATATTGAAAACAACCGTTACCTCAGTCTGTAAACAAACCACACCCCTCAACATCTTATACTAGCTTGTATCAGAATTAAGTGTAACATGGACATCGACACCGAAAAACACATTCATCTTCAGACAAATCATTTGCCTATATAAATAACTGAGAGTTAATATAGCACGGGAAATTGACTCACCAGAACAAATATTATTAAACAGGTTTTCTGCAATCGTAAAACCTTAAAACAGTTTACATCACCCAGTAGTCTGAAAAACATGAATTAGAAATAGTAACAACTGAGTCCTTCAGGTTGGGTATTTTGTACTTTTATCACGGGGTTGATCAGGTCAATTTAACTAACCAAATACAGGTCAGACACATTTTTTGTATTCGTGATCATCATTTAAATGTCTGTAAAGTGAGGGATATTGTTGACAATACACAAAGTGTTGGCAAAATTGCAAATCGGTACGAATAAAAATGCGGTCTAACCTGTGAGAGACTTGTCATCTGCTTCACAATGGAAATGGAGTTATCTTCTCTTAGATTTAGTTAATTTTGAGCGTCGACAGAACGTTTGTAGCCAACATAAATGACATGTAAGGATGTAACAGCATCGATGCTACAGATGCTGCCATTCCATCCGGGATTGATTGAGGGCTACAAGGTAAAATTATCATGCTAAAAATCCATACTTGCACGAACATTTCATAATCATAGAGGAAACAATGCCACTGAATTAATGTCATGCAAATACTGGATACAAAAGCATTTGTCGTTGCGTTGATGCATATCCTATATTTTCATGTGTATTCTAACCCCCATCCCCTATCCAGTCATATTAACACATCTGGATGAACCACAGGTATCCGAAACGCTAGTAAAATGGTACAAAATAACATGTAAAAGGAAAAGCCTTGAATTAGACTGAAATGACATTTAAAAAGCGAAATATGAGTCTGATAGTGCCGGGAAAGAGCAGAGCTTATGCGGCATTCTGTTAATGAAATTAATATGAAGTAGGCACTGCCTAAAAACGAGCGCAAGTTGGTCAAGAAAGTGCACATTTTGAACAGCCTGACCCATGTTTGCACTGAAGCGTGTTTTTTTTTTAAAATTTGTTGTACATTTCGCAAGATTTGAACAAAACATCGACACATACAATTGTACCAATATATCATCATCAGCAGCAGCAGCAACACATCTTCTTCTTTTAGAAAACATTGTATCACCATGATCAGGCAGTGGTTTGGTGGCACAGTTGTAACACACTTGTCTATCACCTAGCCATACAGGGTTCGATTCCCCAAAGGGATAGAAAGGATACAGGTTTCCTACCAAAGTTAGACCCCTCTCTTACTTACAACAAGTGTGATTTTTATAAGTTGAAATAACAAAGTTTTCATATGTAAGTAAGTCATGCACATACAATCATACACCATGAAGGCAGACAAAGAAGAACAAAACAAAGGATGACAAAATAACGCAAAATGTGACACTTTCCCTTCGCGAAGCTGTTTAAATGAAAAATACACAATCATATATATATTAATATTACAACAAGTTAATTTCTATTTGTTATTTCTAATTGTTCCATACAAAGTATTGAAATGGAGAACTTCTACTAGAGTACTAGCTTGATGCCTGTACAAAGTATTGAAATAGAGAACTTCTATTAGAGTACTAGCTTGATGCCTGCGCAATGTTTTGAGTATCAGGTAATTACCTTGAATGGTTTAAGATAACTGGTTTGAAAAAAAGTTTTGTGGTTTGGCCTATGTTTCCATGGTATCAGAAAAAGCATTTAAATGGCAATCTTCCCCATAGCAAAAGAGACTACTAGCTTATTAAGTGTAAACAGTTTTGAGCAATTACCTTGTCAGAGTATTGGTCCAGAAAAACTGAAATTTTGATGAGGGTCATCGGTTTCAATGGTAACAATAACTGTATTAAAAAAGTCACTGACAACATATCTAGACGATAACAATTGATAAAAAAGATCTTTCAAATAAATGCAAAAGAGTTTCCCTTTTAGAGTTACAGAAATTGCAGAAAGGACTTTCTATCTTTGCTTTAAAAAATGAAAGGATTTTGTCAAAATATGGTGAAAGACAATATATTATAGTTTTAGTCAGATTTGTAAAGGTGGTGTTTATATATTTAACAAGTTTTCATTTTTAAAATCACAATGTTCTCTCCCGCCGTTTTATTTTCTCTTTGCTATTGAGAGTTTTCATTCTGTTCATTAACAAATCATAAAATGCTTCAGAACCTTCGGGTTTTTAAGCAATTTGAACTTGTCCTGGTAGCAAAAAGAGGGTAAAGTTATAAACTTTGTTGACACTATTCTGTTATACATCGTGATTAAGAAAATCAATATAAATATATATGTTTAAATAAAATTCTTGTGAAAGCCACAATATATTACATAAACTGCATTATTCTGGATAACCAACCACCCCCCTACAAAAAAAAATCACCACTAATAGTTATTTTATCATTGTGCCTTATAAGTGTTTGCTGGAAATTTTCTAAACATTCAAATACATGATCATAATTAGTTATCGAAAGAACATCCTCATCTTGCAGAATTAATATAGTTAGGAGATGGGTGAGTTTTTCGTCAAATCGGGACCTTACATCACTTTCCATGAACGAGAAACACATCGTCTCGTTGACGGAAAGTGACAAAAGGTTCCGAACATTAAACCAGAAATCAGGTACATTGGAGCACAATCCAGCTCAAATCTTAAATGGTTAAAATTGCAATTTTTCAACGAGATATTTGTTATATACGTTTCAAACCATTAAAGTATATGTTTGTTAAATTCATCTGAATTATTTAAGACTTTTAGTATGATTTCATTTCTACATGAGAGCTTAAAACGATATTTTGTTGGTCAAAATAATTTTTAATCCATTCAACGGGTCGGCGGTTCTCATTGCGTGCTGCGGCAAGTGTATTGTGGGTAATGAAGTTCCTGCCACACTTCCGTTTAAAGTTGATCGTATGGGCAGGTTGTTGGAGTTGAATTATCACACACACACACAATACCATAAAGCGCTCGCTATCAAAAGATAAGAGAAATATTGGTTAATTTGGTCAATATTTCAAGAAGGATAATGGTTGGCGTTATATTCTGGGTACCTGATGGAATACAAAAACATTTAATACTAACTTTAATCAGGCATTGGATCACTGGCAAATCTGGCTATATTGGCAGATTTGGATATACTGTATAGTCATATATGACTGTAAGTATACAGGACATTAGCCATTACTGGTTGTGATCATTTTGTGCACATCGAAACAATGAATCTAGTGAGTTGGTAAAACAAACTATTTATGTCACAGGACACCATGTCTGGTGAGTTGGTTAAATTTCGTCATTGGATTTTTTTGTACTTGTATCCCATTATCCACATGTTCCAACAGTGAGACATGAAATTTCCTTAAAGACCATTCGTATTCACAGCCAACAGTGTCAGTTAAGGTAAAAAATATGGATGCATGGTCAGATTTCAGTAGTGACTGTGTAGTTGAGAGAGTGAGATAAGATTTTAGGACAGTATCCAAACTGGATTATCAGACTGGAAAGAGGGAGATCAAGACGTGAAATTGTCTTTGTCGGTAATGGCAACATATAATTTAAAGTATGAACTGAAGAAAGAAAAAAGATAAAGTGATTACAGCTTGTATTATTAGAGAGGACAACATAAGTTATTCCTTGGACCAGAACATACCTGTATGTTTATATTTGCCATATATAAGTATAGTCAGTTTTGACCATAGAGCCAGATTTACCAGTGCTTCAGTACCTGTCATTTTATGTCAAATCATCTTTACAGTAAGTAGAAATACAAGAATAAGACCACTGGATTCAAGAAAGTGAAAATGTAATAGTTTAAGAAAGTACAGAGTACCATTGATAAAATGTTAATTTCAGTATTGTTTGGTTGGTTTTTATATATATTTCATGTAAGAGAGGTAATTCTTATCTTTGTCTGGCACCACATGCTCTTGTAATTAAGGAAATGGAAGAATTTGACTGAAATAAGGCATAGATTTTTTTTTATTATTTGATATGTGAATGAAGCAAATAAAAAGTAGGAGTCAGGTGGAGTTTATAAAAATCTTCAGTTAAATAAGTAATGTCTGGTTGATCTGCTGCTGCATTACTGTGCTGTCTTCTCACAGACAATAGTCAGTATGCTGTTGCAATGCAATTCTGTTATAAAGTTATATGCAAAATTGCTCTTCCGCTACCAGTTGTATTTGTGGTTCATTCAAATCATGAAGGTTATTTTAATCTTGTTTACCCAGCCACTTGAATTCTTATCATAAGGATGATAACTCAGTCCAGTCAATGATTTTAATTCACAAACTCAAGTCATTGACAAGATTCTTTCAAGCATCTGTAACACCTAAGTGAAATGTAGCAAAGTTCCAATAAGGTCAGAGATGACATAGGTTTGCTTTTTTACCTATATTTCTAACACAGTTTATATTTACAGAACCTATGGATAAACCCAAGGCCTAGTTAATTAATACAGTCTTTATAATGCAATGAAGCTTTATTTTTTCCTCTAAAACTGATCATTTTCACAGGTCAGAGTTCTGGAGTCTGAAGGTTTGAGAGTGGTAAAACTTAGCATGCTGTGCTAGATGGTGCATGGCCCATTCTGGGAACTTTGCCAAATTTCTATGTATATATTTGGTTCCAACAAATACCATGGTTATACACTATATGCACACAATGAGAATACAATATGCAGAGCAATATATATATACATCCGATAAAAAAGGTAACTCCTCTTCCTGTTGTAATTAATTAAGTATTTCCTTTGTTAGCATATAGCTACTGTCTGATGATAAAGTGTTATTGAAATCACTCTACATCCATGGTCTGTACATCCATCTGTGAACAATTCTTGTGATTGCAAATTTCTTGAGAAGTGCTAAATAGAATTTTCTCAAATTTATATGTAGGTATGTACCCGTTGGTGGTCTATAGTTATTTTCATCTCAAATTTCATATGTAAGGTACCCCTTGGTTCCCAGTTGTGCCAGTTTGATTTTGGGACTGATCAGAAAAACTTTATTTTCATTGATTTTATGGGTGCTTAATCACAAATTCATATATCCATGAATCATTAAAATTTGTATAAGCAGTTTCAGTGAGTTGTATTTATCCCTAAATTCAAGTTTCCACAATATTGTACTTAACACAAAGAAAAGAAAAAAAACATAAAAGCACACACACACTCACAAATTGAGCTCTATGAAAATGTCTGATTTTACAGGTCTGAACAGAATGACCAGACAAGTTCACTTTTCATTTCAATGTTATTGCTACTAAATATAAAGCCAAGAATTTGACCTTTAAAATAGAGTGTCACAGGAACATGGTAACACTAATCCGTCTCCTTTACCATATTCTTTCACTTAATGATTTTTCCATTCTACTCACTTTCCAATCTTTTCTTCTCTGCTGGAAGGCTGAAGGCTATATAAATATCTATAAATATCTATATGGATAGATAGAATAATGATATAGTTACAAATTGATTATATTTGATATTTATTTTTGTAGGCAGTTGGACTTGGGGGTGGCCATGAGCAGTGTGGCTATGTGTGTGTTCTGGGCTTTCTTGTACAGACCTCTGTAGGGACAGTATGGACAATGTATCCATGGGCTTAGTGGTGGGTAACGACCTTCGACCCTACGCCTGCCAGGTGTGTAACAAGCGGTTCACACAGAAGGCCCACCTCATCACACATAAGCGAACCCACACAGGAGAGAAGCCGTATGCTTGTCACATTTGCCACAAACGGTAAGATGTTGATTATACTTTAAATTCATCAAATGACAAATTGATATTTTCCAAACAGAAAATAATAAATTGGATGTACTGGTAAGTGTACCTGATTTTGTGGTCTGGATTATTATCCATAAAATTAACAAAGTCTTTTTATTAACATGTTGGCTGAAAAAATTGTGGTGAAATGAAAATGAATTCCAGAAAATTTTAGATATAGGCAAAAAATGTTAGCATTAGGTTTAGAGTAACATAATTCATAACTTCAACATGTTGTATAACAATTATTTTTGGTAATATTTCTCATTTAGTGTACTTGCCTACAGCAGATTCTAAAAAAATAATATGTACTGGTCGGTAGATCTGGTGTTTTCATATCAAATATTGAAAAATGCAATAGTTCTAACAAAATGTTTACTCGGCTAAAGTGTCAGACAAGTGTGAGTTGTACATCCCTGAAGAAGCTGTAATAATGCAAATTATCTTACATCTAGATCTCTCAATTATGTTTGTAGATTCGCCCAGTCATCACACCTGAACACACACAAACGTATCCACACAGGCGAGAAGCCCTACTTCTGTACACTCTGTAATGTAGGTTACTGTCGTAAACAACGTCTAGAGCTTCATCTTCTACATCAGCATTCCCGTGAGGCTCTCGCTGCGGCAAACATCACCATTCCAGATGACCTTAAACTTGATGCTCAAGGTCAAGAAAATCCAGCACTTAATCTTCTTGAATTCCAGGAATCCAGCGTTGTATTTCCAAATAATGGTCAAATGAACAATGTGCCTAATAATGTAGATAGGGCAAGTCCAATGGACTCCACAGTGTCAAGTTACGCCTCCAGTCGACGGAAACCATCAGTTGTTAAGCGTATCAATCTCGGTGACCAAGAGGAAAATGGAGACTTGATAAAAAGCGAGCCTGTTGATGGTGAGGAATATATAGTAACAGGAAGTGGAAGCACCTCAGAGGTAGGTGAGGGACTTTTCACACGAGACCAGGTCAGTAACAGTTACACTACAGGGCAAATCAACAATGACAAGGGCAGATCAACAGGTAAAAGGTCAGAGGTCACTGAAGCTTGTGGGGTGAGCACTACTGATATGAACAACGGTGGGTCGGGAGATGAAATTGAGGGAGATGGGGCAAGCGTGACAAGCGAGAGTAATCTGTCAGGGTCAGAACAGAGCTTGCCAAATTCAGTACGCAAACGTTCAATGCTATCCTATTCCTCTTTGCGACGTAGTCCGAAATGTACCAAGCAGAATCACCAGCAGCACAATAACAGTACAGGTGGACAGAAAAATGTGAACACAAATTATCCGCAACAGATTGGAACAAATTCACGTATCTGTCTGGTGAATTTCACAAGCGATGACCTGATCACGCATCTCATGTCGCGTGATGATGTTTATCGGTGTGACTTCTGTTGCATTGTATTCCAGGATGCAGCCATGTATCATCTCCACCGTAGCATGCATGAAAAGATGGATGTCCGATGTTGTAATCTTTGTGGCAAGCTGGCCCAGGACAAGTACGACTTCCTTGCTCACTTTCTTAGTGAACATAAGTGATTTTGAATTTTTTCTATTTTGATAGTTGTGACATTTACAACTATATTATGATTTTTACATTTTTCTTCAATTCATTTCAAATTGGTCAATATTTTTTTCCTATACTCTTTACTAGTTGTTTGTTTTGAGTTCTGAAATACTTGTGGTTAAAGATATTGAGTTGAAACACCCATACAAACATTGTGGGGAAATATAGAAATCATGAACAAATTGTGGAGAACATTATTAACAAACACACATTGTGGGGAAAAAATTTGTTTTTTCTTTTAATTTTATTTGCAAATACATATGGGTCAAGGTTACATAATGTTTTGTATGGGCTGTAATATGTTGATATTTCATTATTTTGTCTGAGTATTCTATTTTGAGGTAGGAGTTATGTGTCATTGATTGGTTATATTCTTAATTTCTTATGTCCGTCTGTTGTTGGATTTATTTTATACCTTATGGGTATGCCATTGTTTTAGTAAAGCAAGCGTTGTGATGAAATGATTCTATTGATACACTGATATTTTGACAGTCTACTACTTTCACAAATTTTATTTTCAAATTGCCAATTTTAAAATGTTCGATAATGGCGATAATCGATAATGATATAACACTTTTGTGTATAGCAGGGATCATTATCTGTGGAAAAAACTGCATAGTGTTGTTTTTAATCTAATTAAAACAAAATGATCTGCTTTCAAAATCAAAGTTATCTGGCGATAAACCCATGTCTGTAAACAGATCAACCCTTAACCTTTTCTGTTCTGTAGGATTATATAGGATTAAAACAAATGCTATTTTTACTGTCCAGTAATGAGTCCTTCCCTTGACATTAAGTCAGTGTGACGTGTTGTTGTCCCTCTGGGCTCAATGCAGAACAAGGTCGGTGAATGTAGAAACACTACACATTTCTGCATGATGCAGTATTTGTCACCTTGAAATCAACTTAGTTTTGTAACCTTGACCCATATTGATGTCATTGCTGTAAAATAATTAAAGAAAAATAGTTATGAATTTGTTCTTTTCAACTGAAGAAATTAGCCTGGTACATTTGTATTCCAGAAACGACTGGTCATGTTGTACACAGGAAAATTAGAGAGAAAGATGTTTGCGACACAATTCTACCGAGGTTATGTTACTGTCTTAAGCTGTAACAGGTTATCAAGTATTGTTTTTATGTGGATAAAGTCAAGTATATATATGTAAGTGACAGTCTCCATCACTACCGAAAAACTTAAGTCCAGTTTAATTATTTTCTGTTTTTGTTTGTTTTCATCCATTTATTATTAAACTTTTTTTAATGATACATATATAGGGATTCATTATATACATGTACTGTAGGATATTCTTTTGTAAACTGTATGATATATTCAAAGTTTTAATTTATGCTGCTTTTAACAAAATTTCATTAACTTTGTATAACCAACTACAGAAATTGTCATAAAATCTCCTTCATAACTTGAGAACCTAGTGTAAACCTGCTCAAAATGCTAATAGTCTTGGCCAGTCAGGATTAAAAGCATTATAGGCCTGCTGGGGATGGTAGCAGTCTAGGTCTGTCAGGGTTGATAGCATTATAGGCCTGCTGGGGATGGTAGCAGTCTAGGTCTGTCAGGGTTGATAGCATTATAGGCCTGCTGAGGATGGTAGCAGTCTAGGTCTGTCAGGGTTGATAGCATTATAAACCTGCTGGGGATGGTAGCAGTCTAGGTCTGTCAGGGTTGATAGCATTATAGGCCTGCTGGGGATGGTAGCAGTCTAGGTCTGTCAGGGTTGATAGCATTATAGGCCTTCTGGGGATGGTAGCAGTCTAGGTCTGTCAGGGTTGATAGCATTATAGGCCTTCTGGGGATGGTAGCAGTCTAGGTCTGTCAGGGTTGATAACATTATAGGCCTTCTGGGGATGGTAGCCGTCTAGGTCTGTCAGGGTTGATAACATTATAGGCCTGCTGGGGATGGTAGCCGTCTAGGTCTGTCAGGGTTGATAGCATTATAGGCCTTCTGGGGATGGTAGCCGTCTAGGTCTGTCAGGGTTGATAGCATTATAGGCCTGCTGGGGATGGTAGCCGTCTAGGTCTGTCAGGGTTGATAGCATTATAGGCCTGCTGGGGATGGTAGCAGTCTAGGTCTGTCAGGGTTGATAGCATTATAGGCCTGCTGGGGATGGTAGCAGTCTAGGTCTGTCAGGGTTGATAGCATTATAGGCCTGCTGGGGATGGTAGCAGTCTAGGCCTGTCAGGGTTGATAGCGTTATAGGCCTGCTGGGGATGGTAGCAGTCTAGGTTTGTCAGGGTTGATAGCATTATAGGCCTGCTGGGGATGGTAGCAGTCTAGGTCTGTCAGGGTTGATAACATTATAGGCCTGCTGGGGATGGTAGCTGTCTAGGTCTGTCAGGGTTGATAACATTATAGGCCTTCTGGGGAAGTTATTGCAGTATAGGCCTTCTGGGGAAGTTATTGCAGTATAGGCCTGCTGGGGAAGTTATTGCAGTATAGGCTTGCTGGAGATGGTGGCCGTCTAGGGCTGCTGGGGTTGGTAGTAATATAGGCCTGCTGGGGATGAAAATTAACACTATAGGCCTGCTGGGGGGATGAAAATTTACAGTATAGGCCTGCTGGGGATGGTAAGAGTATGGTCCTTGGTAGTTTAGGCCTACTGGAGTTATTAGTAGTAAAGGCCTGCTGGAGATATTATTGCTGTATAGACCAGCTAGGGGTTGGTCACAGTATAGCCCTGCTGGGGATGGTAGCAGTAGTGGGCCTTCTGGAGATGGTAGCAGTATAATCATAGGCTTGTTGGATATGGTAGCAGTATATAGACCTGCTTTGGTCACAGTATGGCCCTATCAGGGATGATAGCAGTATTGATGGCCTGCTGGGGATGGATATGTTGTCTGGTTTAAATTTACAACTCTATATTTCATTTTTTTCATCTATTTACTTAATAACTTATAAAGAAGAAAGTGTTGATAAGAATTTTAGATTGTTACCTGTATCTGTTAAGTTTTTGGTGATTTTGTAGTATGTACTTTTTGACATTTTGTAGTTATATTACTGCAGGTACTTGATCAGTCACCACACTTACATAAAGTGTTATCCACAGAGTTGAAACAACACTTTAAGGAAATATGTTACTTATTGGATAACAGATATAACTAAGCTAGAAATCTGTCACAATCAGGATAGGTTTAAACTTTTACAACTCACAGAATTATATATGTGTTTAGATAAAATGTTCCAATAAATCACGGACAGGAGTTTTTGTAGGGGGAATATTAAAGATATTACATCATATCTATTTGGTGGACTTGTCTCGGTCTCTAAAATTTTGAACTTACAAAGAAACCAGACACAAAATTTTGATGTCTTGGATATGTGTAATTGTAGAATTTTTTAATTAAATAGACATTGATCTTAGATTAATTTCCTGTGTTTAGAAAGCCAATGATAATGTAGTAGTGTATCATTGTGCAAAGATAAGCCCATCCCCTGTACTTAAAGTCTGAGATGTTTTATGATCATATTTTGGATAAATGATATATTAACTGAAATCCATCTGCATTATGTCTTGGTGTTTATAAATAGCATTACTCTGACACATATTCCTTGTAACAGTAATATCAGAAGTGCATGCTCCACTAGTAGCATTATATGTTGGGTTTAAAAATGAAACAGCAGAGTAGTCAGGTGTGTAGCTGCTTTTATGCAAAAACATACATCACAAGATGAAGTAAATTATTTGCTAAATCATCCTAATTCATGAACAATTTTGCTCTCCAAACTCCCTACCATGACTTTGCCTCTGGACCCTGAGCTAGGGATTCCACTTCCTGCTTCTTCAATTGATTCCTGTGTTCATACATCTGAAAATCGCTTGGCAACATGCCTGGTGGTTGATTCTATGCATTTCTTGTTTTGATTATGAATATAGCAATGGAAAGATTATTTGCCCAAATTATCTTTAAAACTTTATAGCTGTTCCAGTGTTTGCCAGCATTTTGGAATGTCCATGGCAGAGATTAAAAATGACTTTAAAACAAGACATTCTAGCAGCTAGATAGAACAAGTTGGCAAGTACTACATACAGGGAGATATATCGTATAACAATATTCATTTTCATTCATTGTTAAATTCGCTCTGAAATACGTTCAAAATGTTTAAATATGCCACTTTTCATCTCACCCTAATGGCAAAAGATCTAATGTTAAACTGTTAAAATTTCTCCCTATTTAAGGATCTATGTCACCTTCATGGTTTAGGTCCCTTTGAAAATCTATCATTCAGAAGTGTGTAAAATATCATGCTGAATATTAAATGATTGTGAAGTCTATGCATTGATTACGGATTTGAATGTGTTAGATCCACACAAATACAGGAATTGGTAATGTATAATTATTTTCTTGAAATAAATGTGTTTAAAAGGGAGATGACTCTTGTTCATGCAAGAGGTACCAAAAGTAATAATGAATAAGGAAACCTGTATTTTATTATCAATGATAGTATGGTGTGATTTGATTAGTTGATCCACCACACTAAAACAATACATATTATACCTGATTATATGAAATTAATCAACTCTCAATTCACAACTTTTTAATCCTAATACATATTTTTGATTAATTTTCCTGTTTTCACTAAATTATAGATATGGCTTTAAACGCGAATACTACATTAACCGACTTGACATTGAATATAATTAGATTTTATTGTTGCTGTTTCATGAAGGTAAACTCTTTTTGTGAACATAAATTTGGAAACAGAGGAGCTTTCTAATCATATCATGATAACCTTTCTAATCATATCGTGATAGCATTTTTAATATTTTACAATATTTTCAAATGTTGTGACATAGAAATTCAGAAATCCTCTTTTGAAAACATTTATATGAAATTGAGTGAAAACATATCCAAAATTTAAACAACAAATGTGTAATAAGCAATGAACAATTGATCACTTAAGCTTGAATTATCTTATTCTATTGAAACACAAGCCCTACACTACAAAAATTGATTTTTGTAAAAATGTTTGACATTTGTCG